AAAAAAAAAAAAAAAAAAAAAAAAGAATCTGTCCTGAGATCTACTCTTTTCTTGGGTCCAGGCTGCTCCTGCTTGCCAGACTCCACCCAGGTCAAAGCCAGGCTTTCCTCATGACCTCTCTTCCATTTACCTTGAAGGTGTCATCCCAGAACTCTGGAGGCTAACAGAACCATCAAGAGTTTAAGGCGAGTCTGGGTAACTTAGTGAGAACCCATCTCAAAAATAAGGGACAGAAAGAACACTGGTGGCTCTTCCAGAGGTCCTGAGTTCAATTCCCAGCAACCACATGGTGGCGTACAATCATCTGAAATGGGATCCAATTCCTTCTGGCATGTCTGAAGACTGCTACAGTGTACTCATATACATAAAATAAATAAATCTTAAAAAAATGAGAAGGGACAGGGCTGAAGAGATGGTCCAGCAGCTAAGACCACTGGGTGCTCTTACAGAGACCTCTGGCTCAATTCCCAGCACCTATAATGCAGGCAGCTCACAACCATTTGTAACTACAGCTGCAGGGATCTAGTGCCCTCTTGGGCACCAGGCTCACATATGTAAATACATGCAGGCAGAACAGCCACACATGTGTAAAGGGGTGGCAGGCAGCTCAGTGGCAAAGCCCTAGCCTAGGTTATTAGTTCCTTCCCTCTTAACTGTGACAATATGCCTGACAGAAGCAACTTGGAAATTTATCTTAGCTGTTAATCCCAGCACTCAGATCTCAAGTCCAAAGCCAACCTGGTCTACAGAGCAAGTTTTAGGACAGTCAGAATGACACAGAGAAACCTAGTCTTGAAAAACACAAAACTTGGAAGGGTGTGTATGTGTATAGAGATGGCTCAGCAGTCTCTTGTAGAGGTCCCAAGTTGATTTCCCAGCCACTGCATGGTGGCTCACAACCATCTGTAAGGAGATCCGATGCCCTCTTCTGGTGTGCTTGAAGATAGAGCACTTATATGCACAAAATACATACATAAATATTTTTTTACAAACCTACACATGCACACAAAAAAGAGCTTATTTTTGGTTTGGTTTGAGGGTACCGTTTACTGTGGTAAAACTATGGTGGAGAAGCAGGAGAGAGCTGTGTGGAGAGCTTTTGGGGCCACTTTCTAGGAATTTGGCAGGAATTTGACATTGGGCTAGGACAATGAAATAGGCTCAAAGCAAATACAGCGGAGGAATATATTGTATTCCTGTTATCTTGGTCATCCTGATAAACCCCTAGACACAGTGACCTTGGGACTTTATTGCTTTGTTTGATCACTTTGATTACCGTCCTGTTTGTTCCTTGTTTGTTTATGCCTTAGGACTGACTACATTCTTTGTATGTACCTAGAATGGAAGTGAAATGGAAGTAAACTGGAAGTAGACTAGAAGAAAATAAACCCACTTCAGCCTTGGCACTGCCTGGGATCATGCTACAGTGTTGTCTTTTTTTTTTTTTTTCTTTTTTTTCTTTTTTGGTTTTTCGAGACAGGGTTTCTCTGTGTAGCCCTGGTTGTCCTGGAACTCACTCTGTAGATCAGGCTGGCCTCGAACTCAGAAATCTGACTGCCTCTGCCTCCCAAGTGCTGGGATTAAAGGCATGCACCACCACCGGCCGACTTCTTTTATTTTTTTTTAAAGATTTATTTTATGTATATGATTACACTGTAGCTGTCTTCAGACACACCAGAAGAGGGCATCAGATCCCATTACAGATGGTTGTGAGCCACCATGTAGGTGCTGGGAATTGAACTCAGACCAATGGAAAAACAAGCACAAGAGGTGCTCTTAACCTCCGAGTCATCTCTCCAGCCCTGTCTTTTTCTTTTCAATCCTCCCACCCTCCCTAGAGACCCCTGTTGAATGACTCAGCTGGCTTCATCAGAGCTGGTCACACTGTCTAAAGTCATAGAGATAAGCCAGGCCTAACTTGCTTTTTCTTTATATTCACTGGATAACATCTGATACAGCAGCAGTGTGTTGAGAGTCAGGCAGGGCCTGGAAACCCCTGAGGGAACTGGTGGCCACTGGAATCATTCCCCATGCAGGGTCCTCCCCAAGTCCCCTTTGGCTATCTCAAGGGTGCCTGAATTGATCTGGGATTCAGGCTTTGGGGTGAGCTACCTCTAGCACTCAGCCTCTCACTTTTGTGCCTCTTCTTGGGCCTCTACCTCCGCTGCTCTGCCAAGGCAGAACCAGTGCAGGGCAGGACAGGGAAGAATGCTCTCAACCATGCCATTAGGTGGACACAGAGAGCTTCAGGTCCTTGTGGCATGTGTGTACATGAGACATACTTTGCTCTTATGCCATCAAACAATCAGAGACTCTGATTGGGTCTTTGGGCAGAAACTGAACTGGGCTACAGCCAAACTCTGCCATGGTTCTATGACGAGTGTGAGGTAACTATGGGTGTTAGTAGTCTGTTAAACTCCACCTCCACAGTCACCTGGCAATTGTCAGGTATGCTCCTCCCCACAGTTACCTGGCAACAGCCAGGTAGGCCTGACCACTATAAAAGGGGCTGCTTGCCCCCTCCTCTCTCTTGTTCCCCTCGACCCAGCACCTGCAGGTTGCCCTCTCCCTTCCCCACTTCCCTTCCCCCTCTCTCCATGTGGTCATGGCCGGCCTCCACTCCACTCCTCTACCTCTCTGCTCTCCCTCCTATCTCCTGAATAAACCTCCTCTCGTGGAACCGTCTGGTCTGCTGTGATCTGTCCGAGCTGCACATGAAAATCCTTTCAATGGGCCAGAAACTTTACATGGCCAGATCCCTCCGGCATGGCTCCTGGCCCCTGTGCAAGGCAGCCAGTGCAGGGAGTATGACAAAGCCTGGTCAGAGACCAGGCAGGAGTACACTGCTGCTGCTCCTGGTGGCACACAACTCTGACCTCAGTAGGGGGAGGTCAATACTGGCTGAGGAGAGTTTGAGGGTAGTCTGATCTGCAGTCACGTCCAGGCCAGCCAGGACGACACAGTAAGACCGTCTCACAAAAGAGGGAGTGGGCATTGGAGAACATCCAGGCTGTTCAGTGGGTGAGAGAAAGGGTGGGCACAGCGATGCCCTCCAAGGAGACTCAACCCTGGGGCCTGCAGTTCTTCCAGGTTACATGGCTAGAATGGTTAACACTGACAACTTGACAGAATCTATAATCATGGAAGAGAGGAACCTCTGTGTGTGTGAGTGGCAATGAGAGTTTCTACATTTGCTTTCCTGAGGTGGGAAGACCTACTCTACTCTAAATGTGGGCGGCACCATCCTAAGGCCTGGGGTCCCAGGGAGAATACAAAGGAGACAGGGGAGCACCAGAGTGCACTTCCTTCCTGACTGGATGCCATGCCCACACGCTCAAGCCCCACTGCTGAGCGGGGTTGGGTGGGTCCTAAAACTGTGACCAAACAAGCCCTACTTTCCTTCCTTAACCTGCTTTCTCGGGTATTTTTGTCCCAGCAACAAGATTGTTCAAGTAATCAATATAGTGTCCTCAGAAGCCGGAAGTCAACCCCTGGTCCACTGGAGTTTCAGGAAGAAGTGCTCCCTGCCCACGCCTTCCTTTAGTTCCTTGAGACTGTGCCTTCAACCTGCACTTATGAGATACTTAAAGGCTGCACTGAGCCAATGGGCTAATTGTATTATCACAGAGCTACAGGAAATTGACTCTGGTGGCGAGGTACAGTGAGCCTGGGTAGGAGAAAGGGGTGCCAGGCACACTGACATACTGGCCTAAGGCACTGCTGTGGTCCTGACCACCGTTTCCCTCATTTCCCCAGATGCAGAGGTCTAGGGCACTCATGATCCTTGAGGTAGGTCAGAAAATTGCCTGAAAAAGCAAGAACCAGAGCCCTAAATCTGTGTGTTATGGTACCACTAGTCACAGCAGTCAGGCAGAGCCACACAGAGGACTGGGCATCACTCTAGCTGATAGGCATGACAGGTGGCAGGCCCCAGTTGCAAGATCACAGTGCCTGAGGGACATGTGGCTTCCTTCCTCTTAAATCTGAAAACATTCAGTGAGACTGAACCTGTAACCTCTGGTCTTTATCCCAAAGGCCAAAGCTCCTAACATCACTGCCTCCACAGTTTGCTGTGGGGGAGCATAGGTCTGGTGCTGTCCCTGTCCTCCAAACTAGGTGCTTCCACAGGACCTGTGGGAAAGAGCATCTTAGCCAGGAGGACCTAGGTAGCCACGGGGTGGCAGAGGGTCGCAGAGCTCCTCCTAGACACAAGCGAGCCCAAGTCTCCCCAGACCGCAGGTTCCTATGGAGACCTTGAGAAGGGTCCCTTGGAGCTACCAGATGAGATTTTACGGGGGTGAAGTCCTGAGGCTATACCATGGGCACACAGGACACTTGGTTTCCATACCCTGGCTATTCCATACTAGACCCATTCCAAATCGTGCCAGGTGATGATTTTATTAAGTCCAATGATAGGAAAGACATCTAGTAAAACAGTGCTCTGTCCTAAAGTTAAGGCACACGTGGTAATTAAAAAACTCAAAGGCTCAAGTGGAAATGCAGAGTTTGTGTACCCATGCACACACGTCTGGGCCCCTCAGGTAATGATCTGAAGCCATCAACAGCAGTCAGTCAAGATGATCAGAAGGTCTCCATGAGTGGGCTGGTAGCTCAGGGAACACATGACTCCAGAAAGGTTAACTACAAGCGGCAGGTGACATCATTTTACAGACAGTGCAATAGCTGATGTCAGTCTTTTCGTTTTCTCTGCTGCTGAGACTTCTGGAGCTCACTGAGCAAACTGCTTCCCTTACCAAAATGTGAGGGTTTGCATTTCTGTGGCTTTCCACCGAGAAGACAACAAAGCTAAGCTATGTCTCTGGGGCCCTGTGGGGGTTCCCAGGGAGTACTGAAGGCTTAAGGGCCTGGACAGCACTCCTCCCTGGACTAGCTCCTTTCAGGGGTGCAGAGCTGGGGACTGGCTCCTTGACAATATCCTTAAGAGAGGTGGCTTGAGCCACTGTGGCTACTAGCCTCAGGGAATCCCACAGTGCAGTGCAACTCTGAGTTGTCAGGTCCCAGGCTTTATCAGCTCAGAGGAAACAAGGCAAAACCTAACCCTGAGACCCAGATCACAGGAAAACAAGGCAACTGGCCAGTATAGGACAGCCACTCCAGCCCAGGGACATGTACGGGCTTTTCTTGTGTGCAGTCTGGATCTGGTTCCTAGAAGAGCCACCATTCAGCACAGAGACATCAGTAAAGGCCAACGAGAAGACAGCCATCAAGTCGTCAACTTAGGGTTAGCCTGCAGAGGCACCCTCCAGTTCCAACATAACTTAGGGGAAAACGTGGCAGCCTGGTTGGCCAGCATGGTGGAATGTCAGCAGAAGGAATGCAAGATAAGGTCACCAAGGGCCCATGACCAAAGGCAAACACTGAACTTGCAGGTCCTGGGCTCTGATTTCAATCACCTGCCATCGGAACAGCCAGCAGTTCCTCCAGAGAGAAGACACAGTCCACTTGGGGAAGAGCAGGAGGGGTAGCTGGGTCTCAGTCAGCTGTTGGGCCTGGACTTGAGGGAAGAGGCAGGCCACAGAAAGGGCTCAGGGAAGGCTTGGATGTCACTTTTCCACGATGAAACTGCAGCAGATTCCGCACAGCACCCTGCCCAGGCCCACAGCCTCTGAGACTAGAATGGCCTGGTCCTGCCTAGGACTGTGACTGGTCATGTCTAGGGCACCCGATGTCCTCCTGCTGCCAGCTGTGGCTTCCCTCAGCTCTGCTCCAGGCTGTCGTCAGTGGGCTGCACCACTGTGTAGCTTCCCTGGCTGGAGGAGAGCTGTCGGCTGAAGAAGGAGGTGGTTCGCTTTGGTTTTACCCGCTTGATCCCCTTGCCTGTGAGGGTGACAGAGATGCTGAGAAGAGACACTCGGTGGGTGGCCTACACCCCAGGATGCTGGGCTCTGCTCCCACTGGAACAGCTTCTGCAGGAGTCTGCATCAACTGTGCTTTCCTATCAGAGCTGTCATCACTGAGTCTGTCCATCCCTGACTCTATCATCAGTGGCAGGACAGGGACCCCATGGTCATCCTCGCCTATCTTATCAGAGGCCGCAGAGGACTCCAGACTGGCTCTGCTGGGTGACTATCACTAAGACAGGTATAGGTGATGATGGGAAGCCAAACAAAAGATGGAGAGCGTGGCTACAGTCGGGGGAAATTATGACAGTGAGGGAGTACCTTGCTCTGCTGGTTCGCACGTCCCTAGACTCATCAACTCACGAGGAAAAACATCCAATTCTACCAACAGGCCTCTTATAGAACACTGTCCAGTGCCCTTTAAATACTCAGACCAACCAATGGATCGAAAGCAACACACCGTGTAGGCCAGGTGTTTCTAAGGCAAGAGGATAATGTCAAGTTCCAGGTCGGCCTGAGCTACAGTGCAGACTGGGTAATGTACTAGAATAAAAAAAGACGTGAACGTTGGGGCTGGAGAGATGGTTCAGCGGTTAAAGCTCTGGCTGCTCTTCCAGAGGTCCTGAGTTCAGTTCCCAGAACTGACATGGAGGCTCACAACCATCTAACCCCAGTAGTCACTAGAAACACAAGTGGTATGCAGACAAACATGTACAGACTTAAAATAACTAAATTTAAATATTAAACCACCAAAAAAAGAGAAGAAAAGAAAGAATGACTCATAATAATGCCTTGGAGGCGGAGAAGGGAAGATTTAATGTCCTCTGAGCCAGGCATGGTGGTGCATGCGTTCATCCCAGCAGAGCAGCAGAGGCAGGCAGTTCTCTAAAAGTTCTAGGCCAGCCTGGTCTACACAGCAAGTTCCAGAGCAGTCCTGTCTCAAAAGAACAAAATACAGATGTATTTTGTTGATGAGTCCTGTCTCAGAAGCTGAAATAGAACCTATATACACACTCAGAGAATCAGGGGGGTGTGTGTGTGTGTGTGTCTCAAAAGAACAAAATACAGATGTGATTTCCTGTCTCAGAAGCTGAACTAGAACCTATATACACACTCAGAGAACCAGGTGTGTGTGTTGTGTGTGTGTGTGTGTGTGTGTAGGCGTGCGCAGATATTTAAAGACAGGGTCCTGTATAACACCTTATCTGGCCTGGTATTCAGTATGTATTCCAGGTTGGCCTCTGCCTCCTGTGTGTCAGGGCTAAAGGCACGTGACATGATGCCCAGCTTTGAATTTTATTTATCATTTATTTATTTCTCTAATTTACAGAGTAAGTTTTAGGACATTAAGGGTTACACAGAGAAACCCTGTCTCAAAAATATATACATATATTTTTTCTTTTCAATAAACAGCCTACACAGGCTGGTTAGCATAGAACTAACTTACTATTTTTAGCCCAAGGTGGCTTTGGACTTCTGATCTTCTTGCCTTTACCTCCCAGTACAAGGCTAACGGCTGTGTCTACCATAGCTGGCTTTACATCTCAGGAGCTGTTCTTGCCTTTACCTCCCAGTAGAAGGCTAACGGCTGTGTCTATCACAGGTGGTTTTACATCTCAGGAGCTGTTCTTGCCTTTACCTCCCAGTACAAGGCTAACAGTTGTGTCTATCACAGCTGGCTTTACATCTCAGGAGCTGGAGAGCTCAGTCCACGTCACCTGTTCCTGCAGGGGACACAAGTTCAGCTCCCAGAACCCACATGAAAGCTCAAAACCATCTATAATTCCTGTTTTGGGGAGATCTGACTCCCTCTTCTGGCCTCTGTAGGCACTAGGCACAGAGGTGGTAAGTGTGTGTGTATATAAAGGCAAATATGCATATATATAATAGAATTTTTAAATTATGTACAAAATTTAGGTCATTTTTATTTCTTTTTCTCCCCAATATAATATTCTTATTAATTATTTGGGAATTTCATATAATATATCCTGATCACACTTGCTTCCCATTCCTCCCAAGTCCCCCCACCCCTTCCCTCCCCCCAATAAAGAAGGGAAAGGAGAAAAAAAAACTCACTAAGTCCAGTTCGTGTTGCCCATATACTCACTGGAGCAAGGGCAAACTCCACATCCCCAGTTCAAGATATCTACAGCTCTGGGATTATGGGCAGATGCCACCACACCTGAGTATGAAAATGGCTTCAGCTGGCTCTGGTGGCACTGATCTGTGATCTCAGCACTTGAGGTAGAGGCAGAAGGATCAAGAGTTCAAAGTCATCACCAGCTACACATCAGGCATTAAGTCAGTCTAGGTTGGAGAGGGAATACCTAGAAAAACACCATCCCGAGGGGAAGGTGGCAAATGCCTGAAACCCCACCACTTTCGGGGCAGGTGGATCTCTTCAAGTTCAAGGCCAGCCTGGTCTATACAGAGAACTTAGAGCTACACAGGGAAACAAGGAAACCTTGTCTCAAAATATAAACAAAAAACTGATTATCTTGTGTGTGTGTGTGTTGGGGAAAAGGGGTTTGCACACCACTGGCAGGTGTGGAGGTCAGAGGACAGCCATGTGGAGTTTACTCTCCTTACACCACTGGCCCTGGGCGATGGAGCTCAGGTCTTGGGCCTTGATGGCAAGTCCCCTTACTGCTGAGCCATCTCACCAGTCACCCCCTACCCCCAAACCTCTTTACATCTTGGACTAAGTCTAGGTGTATAAACTCACCGCTGTAATCAAACACACTGGACGAGGTGCTCCTCTCCGTCCCACGTTTGGAAGCTCTCTCAGTTTTCCCTAATACAGCTGTGTTCACTGCTCAGAAACAAGGGCTACTAGGGATGTAGCAGTGGCACAGTACTCGCTTACGACTGCTGAAGCTCTAGGTTCAATTCCCATTACATTTAAGGTTTTTGTTTTGTTTTACTTTCTAAGACAGGGCCTCTTGGGCTCCAGGGATGGCTCAGCAGTTAAGAGCATTCACTGCTCTTCCAGGTCCTGAGTTCAAATCCCAGCAACCGCATGGTGGCTCACAACCATCTGTAATGGGATCTGATGCCTTCTTCTTCTGGTGTGTGTCTAAAGAGAGCTACAGTGTACTCATATACATAAAATAAATAAATCCAAAAAGATGACCTCGCTGGGTGGTAGTGGTGCACACCTTTAATTCCAGCACTCAGGAGGCAGATGCAGATGGATCTCTATGAATTTGAGGCCAGTATGGTCTAAGATAGCCAGGGCTACACAAATAAGATCCTATCTCTGAACACCCCCCTCCAAAAGAAGTCTCCATCGTATTTCCACATTCTAAAAGATGCTACAGTGGACAAGTTTGTCACTGCAGAAAAAGAAGTGACAGATAGGAAATGTCCCTGAGAGTCAAGTCCCCAGCTCTTCTTTTTCCCACCCTTTGGAGTCCCTTTGGCATATGTGTGAATTAGTGTGCTGTGTACACACTGTGTGTATGGTATCACACACCACCAGCGGCTTACCATCTTCCACATAGTCAATGGTGGAGAGATGCTGAATCCGGCTACACACCACACTACCCTGCCTTCGCAGCTTAGGGCGCTGAGTGGGAGGTGGAGAGGGGCTGGGAGCTTCATGCAGGACGGATGCGCTCTCCTGGGGGAGTGTCGGCTCAGCGGCCTGGCTCAGCTCAATGCAGTACTCAATGAGGCTGCTCATCAGCTCAGCCTAGGGAGGGAGGAGCGACTGTTGAGGGCAACAATGAGACACACAGTTCTAAAGCCTTTGCTTCCTGGGGGTGGGGTGGGGATGGGGGGAGAGTAGGAGGCAGAGCAGAGAGGAGGGAGCTCTCTGGGCCCAGAGGGCAGGGAAGGTGTCCACCTGAAGAGGTGAGGTCTAGAAAGGAGGGAGTTCTAGTCAGAGGCAGCTTAGAAGGCTGTGGACTGGGCTGCCACAGACAAGGTGACTGGCTGTGCTGGCTGCCAGAAGCTATGGCCTAAGGAAAAGAGTGAGGTCACTGGCCAGGGTGGCTCCCTCTGAGCAGTTCTTCTAACGTGAGTGACACCCCATGGATCTGGAAACACAAAAGGCGAAGTGACAAAACACCTGGAAGCACAAGTGGCCAAACACATGGTGGGACAGCTAGGACCCATGACAGCAGCCTGGCTCTGCTCAAGTTACAGACCAGGCATCCTTGTGGAGAACACAGTTACTGAGCACCTACTGTGTGTGTGGCCCTACTGTTTGTGTGGCCCTGCAAAGGGGGCTGGACATATTAGACCCCTGTGTGTTTACAGATCAGAAGCCTGGGGATGACATCATAGACAATGGTCTAGCCTCCACTGCCTGTCCAGTGTTGCCTGCAGCCTTGACAGCAGCCTAGCCTAGCCTGGGGAGGAAAAGGAGAGTAGGCAACCCCCTACACTTTAGGCCTCCATATCTCATCCTAACCTGAACAAAAGTGCAGACATTACCATTCAACACACCCCCTCCTGACTCCCACCAACAGCCACTGTCTCGAACCTGCCAGTGGGATGGAAAGGATCTCCCTGACCTGCCCAAGGCATCCAGGAAGCACTCAAGTAACTAAACCCACACTGCTGAGGGGGACTATGTTTTCCCTCAGGTCAGGGGAAGGCCAGAGACACTTGTCTGCAAGCACAAGGGGCAATAGCATGGTGACCACACAGATCGGGATGAGGAACCAGGCTGTCACCATCCACAGACAACATAACCAGCTCACAGAAAACTCTGAAGAACCCAGGAACCTGCAGAACTGCAGGCTGTGGCATGCCTGAGGACCACATCCATTGACTTCTTCCTTCCCTCCCTCCCTCTCTTCCTTCCTTCCTTAGTTTCCACAGTGCTGGACTTCAGGTGTCTGGCACCTGGCTTCAAACGGCTTGTTAAGTAGTTCAAAACTTCACATAAGGAACGCCCAACTGATAAAAGCATATGTAGACACTCAAAGACCAAGAACCTCCAAAATCTGACACATTCTTCTTCTTTTTTGAGTTGTTTTCATTTTATATATATGAGTATTTTTCCTACGAGTATATATGTAGTATGTGTGTGCGCGTGCGTGCATGTATCTGATGAACATGAAGGTCAGAAGAGTGTTCAGTTCCCGAGAACTGGAGCTGAAAGCAGTATTGAGCCATGATGGGGCACGCAGGGTGGGGTGGGGTGGTGGTGTTTACAAACAAACCCAAGTCCTCTCTAAGTCTTAACTGCCAGTTGTTTCTCCAGCCACTTTAACTTTTACATTTTTAAAAAACAAATTTGCATGTGTGTGTGCATGTGTATGTGTGCCTGTAGTCAATGTCTGGGTGTACCTATGTATGTAGTGTGTATGTATGTAGATGCGTGTATGTAGATGCGTGTATATAGATGCGTGTGTGTGTGTGTGTGTGTGTGTGTGTGTGTGTCTAGTGACCATGGAGGGCAGACGCCTCCCTCTCTTCCCTTCCACCTCTCTTGAGATCAAGTATCTCGTTTCCTTAGCTTTGCCAAGTACCCCTTGCCAGCTGATCCACGAGTTTCTGGGTGATTCTCTTGTCTGCACCTCCCGTGTCTCACCTCGGGAGTGGGGAATTAGAGATGTATGTTACATCTGGCTTTTTATGTGGGATCCAGGGATCCAGAATCAGGTCAGTCTTGTGCAGGAAGCAGTTTTACCCATGAGCCATCGTCTCCCTAGCCGTTTCTTTTCTTCTCTCCCTGTCTTCCTCTCTTGGGATGTAGTCTGGCTGTGTTGCCAAGGCTGCTTGAATTTCTAGACTGACAGGAGCCTCCTGCCTGGGTCTATAGTGCAAACCACTGTGCCTAGCCACAAGCATTTCATTCAAGTAAAGGATAGTGAACTTCTATGGAGCTTAGGAACCAAATCCACTGTGACTAACAGTGAATGGTACACACAGACCAATGGCTCAGACCAGTGAGTGAATCCAGAAAACAACAAAAACCCACACAGGGAGAGATGGTTCAGTGGTTAAGAGCTTTTGCTGCATTTCCAGAGGACTCAAGTTCTGTTTCCAGCACCCACAACTTCCTGTAACTCTAGCTGGCCTCCAAGAGCCCTTGCATACGTACTACATACACACAGATCTTAAAAATGAACAAAAATTAAACCTCACATATACACAGTGACTTTACAAGAACAATCCCACTGAGGAAGGACAGTTTCCAACAGCAGGCAATGGAACAACTGGCTATCCATAAACGTTAAATGAATCTTGACCTTGTGTATCAATCACACTTTGTGTCTAACGAATGAACTTGGGCGGCACAGCACACACCAGTAATCCTAGCATTTGGGAGGCTGACTCTAAGGCCAACTTGGCCTACATACTAAGTTCCAGGGCTACATATTGAGAATTTGTCTTAAAAACAAACCAGAAGCCTGGCAGTGATAGAATACACCTTTAAACCCAGCCCCTGGGAGGCAGGCAGATCTCTGAGTTTGAGGCCAACCTGGTCTAACAGAGAGAATTCCAGGACAGCCAGGGCTACACAAAGAAACCTTGTCTTGAAAACAACAACAAAACAAAAAACAAAACAAAAACAGGGATGGAAATGTGGCTCAATTCAAAATGCTTGCCTAATATGCACAAAGTCCAGGACTCACTCCTCAGCACCACGCAAAGGGCGTGGTGGCTCATGCCTGCAATCCTAACTTTTGGGAGGCAAAGGGACGCCCATCTCTGAGTTTGAGGCCAGCCTGGTCTTCGGAGTAAGTTTCAGGATAACCAGAGAAATGCTGTCTCAAAAGTAAATAAATTAAAACAAAACAAGAAAAGAAAGAAAACGAAAGGCCAGGGTATACACCGAGCGGAAATATCCGCTTATAATATCTACTGCGGGACCTTGAGTATGGAAGGTAGAATCAATTCTTGCCATCTGTGATAAAATCAACCCACCACTACCAACAACTACAAAGGGCGCAAAGCTGGCCATGGTGCACTGCCAGTAGAGGCAAGTGGGTCCCTGTGTCTCTGTGAGCTCTAGGCCATCAAGGTGTGTACTGGTTCCAGGCCACTCAGGGTTACATAGTAAGATCTGTCTCAAAATAAAACAAAACACAGACAGACACAGACACACACAGAGACACAGCAGAGACACAGACACAGACATACACACACACGGGTCACACGGGTGGGGGCAGTGGGGGGCAGATCTGAGCTGACCTGACACTACACAGTTGAAGATCTGTGGACAGAGTTAACCAGTGTGGAAAGAAAACATCACTAGTCTCTAGAGAAGTGCATATTAAACCTGCATTGCCCCATCTCGTCACTAAGCTATTACAACAGCAAACAAGTAATAGTTGACAATGCCCAGTGCTCACCACAGTGGGGAGCAACTACAGAAACAGGAACTGGAAGCCATGTGGCGCTTTAGAAAACAGGCTGGCTGTTTCTAATAAATCGGATCCTATGTTCACTGCACATTCCAGCAATCTAAATCTAATTAAAGCCCCTGAGTTTTTTAGTATGACTTAAAAAAAGAGGGTCAGGGGCTGGAGACATTGGCTCTACCGCCAGGAGCACTGTCTGCTCTTCCAGAAGATCCGGGTTCACTTCCCAGAAGTAACATGGCAGCTCACAACTGTCTGTAACTCCAGTTCTATGGGATCCGACTCCCTTTCAGACACATATACAGGTAAAACACTGAGGGTCTATACTGACATAAAACCCTGTGCACAAATGCTCATTACAGCTTACTGGCAAAAGACAAAGTGGGAACAGCTCTCTATTCTTTTTTTTTCTTTTTTGTTCTTTTTCTGTTTTTTTGAGATAGAGTTTCTCTGTGCAGCCCTAGCTGTCCTGGAACTCACTCTGTAGACTAGGCTGGCCTCGAACTCAGAAATTCGCCTGTCTTTGCCTCCCAAGTGCTGGGATTAAAGGCGTGCGCCACCACCGCCCAGCAAGGAACACCTCCCATATGCTCTTCAGTGGGTATTTGAGCTCTGCTCTCGACCAGCTGACAGAACATTTGCCTTGGGTTTGATCCCCAGCAGCAGAAATAAACAAATAATAATAAAACAATAATTAACAGTAAGACAGAATGCACATAGACTAATCTGAAAAGCAGCTGCCACACAGGGGCTAAGTACAACTGTGCTTCCATCTGCGGGTTAGCGGGGAGCCAAGTATTCAATGTTTTTGAAGACCAGAGGGTGAAGACATATGTTTTCAAAGGAGTCCCTGGAATTTGTCTATGTGCCCAAAGAAGGGGAGGGGGGGCAAGAACAGTCCCCAGAGAGCCTCAGAGCAGAGTGTGGCTCTGACATGGAGGAGGAAGAGGAGAGGATGGATGGATGGTGGGCAAAAAGAACAGATCTAAGCAACACAGGCCCTCCCTGCCTCCTTCCTTCTGGCCCGGCTCCTCAGCGGTCCTCTCAGGCGCTTTGCAATAGGGCTGGCACAGCTGCAGACAGCATGGACAGGCTCTCAAGGGACACCACCCTGGTGTATGACCCCGGAGTCCCGCAGAGCTCACCAGGGTGACAAAGGCCAGCTGCAGGCAGACACCCTATCCCCAGGCCCTGGGCGGCACTGCAACCTCCTTTGCGGGCACTGGAGACCTGGAACTGGCCTCTCATCCCACGTGTGTGTGACCACGTGTGTGTGTGTGACCACACCACTACCTGCTTGGAGTAGATCCTCAGGAGCTTGTTGACAGGCGTGCCCTCACTGTCACCATCAAACTCCAGCCACAGGACAGGCTCTTCCTCCTCAGGAGAAGTGTGATCCCAGGACAGCTCCTGAAAGCGCAGACCCAGCAGCACATACTGGCCAGAGGGAGACAAAGAACAGAGCTGAGGCCTCTCCTTCCCACTGGGCCCCATCAGGTTCCACCTGAAGGAGGCGCGTACCCAGGGTGCTTTCCTCTCCATACTGACTGTTTTCCTTTCTGAGAGAGGGTCTCACTATGCAGTCTTGGCTAGCCTCAGGCTCACAGAGATCTGTCTGCCTCTGCCTCCCTCTGCTGGGAATAGAAGATATTGTTCTCGTTTGTTTTGTAGCATTGAGAACTGAACAGAGAGCCTTATGTGCACAAGGCAGGCATGAATTCTACCAGACCTCAATGTTAAGTCTGCATTGCTTCGTACATGAGGCCAGGAACTGGACTCTTCAACAGTAAGGCCCCTGAGGGTCAGGGAATCGGCCACTGGGTGCAGGCACCTGCTGCACAGGGAGGGCTGTTGACACCACAGCCTACATGGTGAGCCAGACACCAGCCAGACATAGTAAGACGGCCACCAAATACAGTGATAAGCAGGTCTTGGCCAGCACAGGGAGCTCCCAGCAGGGGTCTCTATGGAAAAACGGTCAGCCAGTCTCTTATCACTGGCCGAGAAGAGCAGTAAGGTGCTGGCAGACACTACCCACTCAGTCAGAATCCCAGCTGCCACCCCCTCTGCCTCAGCCGAGTGCATGGCTCAGGAAAACAGATCCAGAACAGGCTCAAAGAAGGTTCCAGAGTGCCAGGCAGTGGTGGCACACACCTTTAATCCTAGTACTTGGGAGGCAGAGGCAGGCGGATTTCTGAGTTCGAGGCCAGCCTGGTCTACAGAGTGAGTTCCAGGACAGCCAGGGCTACACAGAGAAACCCTGTCTCGAAAAACCAAAAAAAAAAAAAAAAAAAAAAAAAGAAGGTTCCAGAGTACTTGAGCAGACTTCAGGGACATGAGAAAGGCCAGAGTCTCCAATGTCTACTCAATGCTGTTCCTAGGATGCCCACAGTCCCAGGGGAACCAGGAAGGCATGGACAAGACGCCACTTCCTTCTACCCCACCACAGACAATTCAGTCCCACCCTGTAGAACTCAATCAAGTGGTACCTTCTCCCTGTTGTCAATGACATGCACACCCTCCAGACTGATGGCCACAGTCACTGGTTTGCGCCCACCCCGATGCAAGAAGCCCTGGGCTGGCTTGTCAACTTCACCATGGAAGAAGGCACACCTGGAAAGGGGACTAGTGTCAGCTGCTCCCTCCAGCACCTAGCACACAAGGGAAGTCTGCTCTGGATACCCAAGAAGCTTAAGCTGTTTGGGTGACTGACGGGTAAATAGAAAAAAACCTGCCCTGAGGATTGGGGGGCAGAGGCAGAAACAGGAAGTAATATGGGGAGCTGGGGGTGGTAACACCTGATTGGCCATGTAGCACTAGACTGAGCGGGTGGAAGGACCCAGGTAACAGTACAGGATGGGCATTATGGGCAGAGGAAATCACAAACCCAAGGACGAGAGCAGAGCAAGCTGCATGAGGGAACCTGAGGCCTCAGGAAGAGGTAAGGTCGAGCCTTCAGCACTGTCCACAGCAGAAGTCCTTTAGCAGCAGGGACCTGCTGGGGCATTCAGAAAGTGACAGCTGCCTCTAGGATAGTGGCTTCTGGGCTAACACTAAAAGGGGAAAGTGAGGTGATTTAAGGGTGGCAAGACACTCAGCTACTGTCTCCCTTACGGCAGGCCATGACTTCACTTACTCTGAGGCTTACCCATGCCTAAGTCACAGCCCAAGTCAAAGCCAGCTCTCTCTGTACAGGAGAGGACTAGAGGCGAGTATACGCCTCCTGGAAAATTCTACACCTCTCCTCAGCTCTGAGGTTCAGGTGATGAGGAAACTGAAACTGTCTGTCATAAGACCCGCCACTTCTATCAACTTTTTACTCACTCCTCGAGTGCCCAGTAACATGGAGTGTGCACATGTGTATACACGTACACACGTACACATGTACACACACACACACACACACACACACACACACACACACACACACACACGATGTCATTGCATCCATTATAAAAAACAGCAAGTCCTTTGTTCCTGCTAGGCTCACAACTCCTCCTCCATTGTCCAGTAAAACTGCATAAAGGCCAGGCACACTCGCTGTTTCTAACCTTCTTCTCTCTCATACTAACCTCCTCTCTCACCTCCAGCAGGCTGAGGCCAACCCACAGCACAAACCTGGGCTCAATAGAGCACAATGAACATGACCTTCAAGATGAAGGACTGGAGCACATGGCGCTGGCCTGGAGAGACGCTCCTGCCTGGAAGGTGCCCACCCCCCCACCTCCCGTTCTTCTCTACTCACCCCCCTTCCTCATCTCCCTGGCCATTTCGCAGGGCTCTAGATTTCAAACAAGTCACCAATCATTTTTTTAGCCCCAGACCAGGAGCCCAGTGTGTGGAACTGGCATTCATCAATGGGCGTCTTTCAGCTGCCACATGCAAGCCAAGTTCCCACTGTAACAAACCCACTCCATTGCAGCCTGTCCCAGCAAATGAAGACTGGTCAACACAACAGGCTCTGAGTTTGGGAATTCCATGTCTAGGCTGCTGTTCCCACCACCTCTGCTCTCCTGGCTGCTGTTTACAGTGGTTCTCTACCTCTGATTTCCCATTCAAAGAGAAGCTCCTTCAGTGTGTGGGGCATAGCCATCAAGAGAGAACTATGTGTTACACACCATGTGTGTGAGCAAGAGCCAGGCCAGTGAGTGGCTGTAGCCAGTAGGAAGAGAGGATGGACGAAGGCATCCTAGTCAGAGATGGGAACAGGTATTCCTCTGGGGACTAAGGCCAAGCCAGCTCTTTAAGAGAAGGACAGTGCCGCTGGAGCACAGGGATTCAGGGTGCCACATGCGGGGGTCGGGAGCAGTCTGCAGGGTGTTGAGGGAGGGGGCAGGAGCTTCCAAGATGCATCACTTACCCGTAGAAGGGCAGCTCATGGCACTTGAGGAGGTACGCGCGATAATGGGAGCCCAAGGTGGTCTCTCGCTCACTGTCACCACCTGTCATTTCCTTTACCTGGCGGTAGGCATTCAGCAGGCCTTGCTCACCTGGCCCAGTCTTGGCCCCACGGCTCCGGAAGGCAGCAAAGAGGCCGTGGCCTCGCTTGCAGAGGTGGGCAGGGAGAAAGGAGTCCAACTTCTCTCTGAAGGGGAAGGAAAATGGGTAGTGGTGCCCCCCACCCCGGGGTATTGCAGTCTTCGGGGTGTGAGTACGATGCTCATAGGGTAGGCAAGGATTGGCAGCTGGCAGGCCTTAGGGACCTTCAAGGCTTGACTGCACCAAGGTGCACTGCTGTGCTCTGTGTGTGTGTGTGTGTGTGTGTGTGTGTGTGTGTGTGTGAGAGAGAGAGAGAGAGAGAGAGAGAGAGAGAGAGAGAGAGAGAATGCTCCAAGCTGTCAGAGGGCAGACAGAATGTCATCAGGACCAATCTTCACCCAAGAGGGAAGAAGACACAGTCTTATGGTACATGCCAGGCACTACGGAGAATCCCTTTCCCATCAAACGAGATCTGACTGACACTCAGGACCAGCGGTGGGCAGAGGGACTTGGGATGTGCTCAGGTCAGGATGAGAAGCCAGAAAAAGGCCAGGGAACAGCCTAGCTGGAGCAGGTATCAGAGCAACATCCATGTTCTGAGGCTGGACAATTGAGCTTTCTAAATGAATGCAACTTTCTTCATCCAAAATAACATGAATAGGTATGATACTATATTCGGGCTAGTTTTATGTCAACATGTCACAAGCTGGAATCACCCAAGAGGAGGGACCCTCAACTGAGACAATATCTCCAGAAGATGCAACTACAGTTAAACTTGTAGTGCATTCTCTTAGTGACTGACGTGGGAGGGCCCAGCCCACTGTGGGTGGAGCCAGGCCTGGGCTGGTTGTCCTGGGTTCTATAAGAAAGCAGGCTGAGCAAGCCATGGGGAGCAAGTCAGCAAGCAGCACCCCTCCATGGCCTCTGCATCAGCTCCTGCCTCCAGGTTCCCACCTGGTTTGAGTCCTTGGCTTCCCTCGGTGGAGATAACTGAGGACGTGTAAGCCACAATAATGAACACTCCTCCCTGGGCTGCCTGGTCATGTTGTCTCATCATAGCAACAGTACCCCAACTAAGACATGCTCTCCGTGTTCTACTCAGCAAGGGAATGATGACTGAATACCAAGTAGATCATGGAATTCAGGGCATCCTCCTTACACAGCTAGAGTTGGAGGCTCAGAGGCTCACAGCTTGGTCCCAGGTCCACTCTATAGACTTGCCTGCAGCCTGACCATATGGAAGCATTTCCTCTATTGAGGTTCCCTCCTCTCAGATGATGATAGCTTGTGTCAAGTAGACAGAAAAGTAGCCAGGACTGGTGGGGCTGGAGAGATGGCTCAGCGGTTAAATACACTGGCTGTTCTTCCAGAGGACCCAGGTTCAATACTCAGCACTCACATGCCTGCTCATAACTGTCTGTAATTCTAGTTCCAGGGGATCTGACACCCCCATACAGACATACAGGCAGGCAGGACAACAATATATATAAAATATTAAAAAAAAAACTTAAAAAAAAGTAGCTAACACAGAGTATCACACCATTTTTGAGTGGGAAAAGGCCCATTCACTCAGAGAACAGGGCAGCTCTCAGCTAAAACATGACCACTTTCTACCTCAGGCCACTGGGCTTCTGTTGGCAGAGAACCAACCACTCCAACAGACTAGATCTGGAGTCTGAGTCTGAGGCCTCAAAGTCTATAACCAGACCCTGTCTACAACAGGACCACAAGTCCCAGGGGCATAGACAAAGAGACCCCAACATGGCCCTTGGCTTCAGGTTAACTTGGTAAACCTTCATGGAGTCATCTTTTCCAGAGAGGAATCCTGCTAGGGCATTTGGAGCCTAAACACCCAGGCTGCTGGGAGGGGCAGAAAGGGAAGTGAAGGCAAAAGGAAGGAAATTGTTAGCCTGAGTCACTGGGTGCAGGAGGGATCTCCAGAGGCCTGGCCGCCCTCCGTTCTCAGGGCAGCTGTGCCCGTTCCCCATCTGTGTCCCACTCTACTCAGGTCCTGTGTTTGACAGCAGTTTCCACTTGTCACAGAAAAGCCTGTCGCAGCTCTGGGTGTGTGCAGACTCACAGTGGTGTCCCTCAAGACCAAGCCACAGACCATCAGTGGCCGACCCACTGGACTTCCATTCTCTGGGACTAAGGTATGTGCCACGTGGGTAAGCCTGGGGCCTCTAGCTGTGTAAGGTAAGAGGGGCCTCTCCTCTGCAACAGACAGCTGCTGCAGCCACCCGGCCACAAGGGCTAACATGTCTGACCTTGTGCTGGCCAACAAGACAAGGGCTGAATGACAAGAAGGAGAACAGGGTCTGGGACACAGCTGAGCTCAGTCCAGGGCACCCTGACCATCTTGCCTTGCATGTCACATGAGTGAGCAAAGGAACTTCCCGTGCAAATGAGCTTGTCAGGCCCAAGAAAAACAGACATGCCATCCTGAGGTCCAGGATACCATGGCCATGGCCACCAGCTAGAAGCCTTCAGGGGACTTTAACCCAGGGCAGTCCCTGCCAGGTTCCAAACACCGTCATCAGCACCAGGTCTCTGACCCCATAAACCACTTTGCTGACTTTCCCACTACCTGCAGGGTTGGGGAAACAAGGAGCTCAGGTTAGAAACAGGTTGCAGTGCAGGTTTACACCTGAATCTATCCTAAGTTTTGTTTATGACAGGGTTTCACGTAGTCCAGGCTGGCCTCAAACTCACTCTAGTAGTTAAACATGACCTTGAACTCCCCATTGTGAGTATAAGCCACCACACCTGGCTCACAATTAGCCCAGGCTGGTTTGGAACTCATGGCAATTGTCTGTCTCCCAAGTGCTGGGATTACACGTGTGAATCACATCTGGCCCCTGGAATTCTTACTAAACCCCAGGGTCACACCTACGGAGGCAGAGCCCAACCTGGTTTGCTATTACAGCAGACTTAACATTCATCTTTTCTTTCTTCAAGGCAGGGTTTCTCTGTGTAGCCCTGGCTGTTCTAGGACTTACTCTGTAGACCAGGCTGGCCTTGAACTCACAGAGATCCACCTGCCTCCATCTCCTAACCTAACCACAAGTGCTGGGATTAAGAGTGTGTGCCACCTCTGCTCTCCAACTCTCATCTTTCTAGATGGGCCAGCAGCAGCCAGCAGGGCTTGGTAAGTGCCTGGGGAACAGGCATTCTTGGGGTTTGGAGTTGAGCTGAGCTGTCTGTGGTTACTGGGGGGTTGGCACATGGTCAGTTCCTGGCTGTTCCCAGACTTTGGCTAGAGTTGTGGTTCCACCCATGTGTGTCTGTGGACCCTTGTGCTGAGGACCCCTCTTAGACATCACTTCATGTGTGTATCCACTGTGATGAAGGAAAAGGAAACTCAGAGAAGTGGAGAACTCACTAAGGCCACCCAGTGAGCATGCGTGCATCAGAGGCCTGATTTGAGGACTGTCCACCTGGCAGGCCCTAGACTCACTTGTAGGTAGAGTCCTGCACAGCAACTTTCCTACTGGGTGCCTACCTCAAGTCTCACTGTCCTTACCTCAGAGTGCAGGCAGCAGGCTGGCCAGGCTGGTAGGGCCCAAGCTGCACACGGCACACGAGGGCACCCAGCACCTCACAGTCCTCCAAGTCACAAGGGTACCGAGCGGTCAGCACATTGCCCTTGGCTTCCTCATAGAGCAGCCTCAAGACCTCCTCATCGTGGATCTGCAGACCATAAGGCGTGAAGGCGACAGCTCAGAGGCTGTCTAGGTGTCTGGAAGTCAGGGGGACTGGGCACTGGCATGCAGGAGCCCAGTGCACTACCTAGGCTCTGCCTTACCTGCAGCTCTCGGCGCTTTGGGAAAAACACATTCCTTCGGAACTGAAGGGAAGGCTCATCTAGAGAGAGGGGCTAGAGTCATTTTCTGGTCCCCTAGCTTAAGCCAGCCCTACCCTGCTCTACCCTGCAAAGCCCACACCCCAGCTCCCAACCTCACTCTTCTCCATGGAGAGAGCCCTCCTGAATGGGGGTTGCTGACCAGACAGTAAGCACACAGTGTATGTCTGATCCCAGCCCCTCCCAGCCCAGCCTCCCCACGGCTCCCTTCGGATGCCCCTGCCCCATCAACACTGACCCATGGCTACATCATCATCCGAAGCATCGGTGAAGCGCAGCAGTAGCTCTGGCCACTGGCGGCCCAGTTTGTAGGGCTGGTGCTTAGGTTTCAACTGTACCTCTGCGGGGCGAGAGAGGATGACCATGAAGCTGCTGACCAGGCCAGGGGTACCTAGCCACCTATTATACTGTCCACCAACAAAGAGGACGGCCATGACCAGCCATCACTGAGCAGGCCCAGGGCCACTCCAAAGGGTTCAAGTGTCTTCACCCTGGAATAAGCCTGACCTCCATTCTATTCTGGAGAGAACCAGGCTAAGGTGGTTAGGTCATCAATCCTGAGTCATGGTATGTGATTCACTTGTACCCCTGGGCCCTATGCAGTAGGTGAAGGGCCACCTGAGAGCTGAGGTGCTGTTGAGCTCACAGAGGGATGCAGGGAGACGTGTGGTGAGGATACTACTACGTGCTTGCCAGTCTTCTGACACAAATATCCTCCCTCTAGCTGTCCCCTTCCCAGCTAGTGGCAGGGCACTCTGTCCTGCCATCCAGAGGCCGATGACTCTCGGACCTTCCTTCTGGACCCTGATCTTGAGCAGACAGCAGCCTCCGTCTGCAGGCGGCCTTCTTGCCTCATCACCTCCATCCAATCTCCACATCAGCCCTTTGTCTTACTTCTGTCCACAACCGTCATTTCCGTCACCTCCCCATTGCCCCCATCCACAGGCTCACGAGACGAGGCCATGGGGTGACATCATCACTCACTTCACCTGAGGCCCACAAGGGATGGTAGCTTCTCAGGACTACACATAAATTAGTGGCTACATAGGTCCAGAGCTTAGGTTCCCAAACCTCTCTTCAGTACATATGCTGTCACCCTGTCAGAGGATCCGATGGTCTGACTCCCAGCCTGTCCTAGCACTCACAGTGTGGGACAGTAGGCCTGCAGACAGGCGTGTGTTCCTCCTGCCTTCATTCCCAAGTCCCAGAGATCCTGCCATCAGAACAGGGCTATCCCAGCACCAGCCTCAGACTTCTGGGTGGCAACTTCTTCCCTAGGTACCATCATCCAAGTAAGGCCAACAGCTCATGAAGCCCGTTCCATGCAGAGGACGGGGTGAAGGCCAACCATCAAACTGAAGCATGACAGCCCCTGCTTCACAGGCACTCACAGCTGGGAGGCCAAGCCAGGGCTCTGCTTAGTCAGTGTGTGTCCCAGGATCTGAAGTAGCCTTTCAGTTCCCACCCTAGCCTGGGAAGAACATGGGTGTTGGGTGTACTGCAGCCTCAGGCACTCTCCTGGCTGGGCCGGCCACACAGGCAAAGCATTCAGTTGTAGCCACTGGCAGGCTGCGGAATGTGAGGGAGTGGGAGGATGAGGTGGAGGAGGGGCGGGCCGGGCCGCCCAGCAGCAGCACTGGGAGCCTCCTGTGGCAGAGCAGTGGCCATCAGGGCCACTATCCCAGCTTTCTACACAGTCAGGAGGCCCACAGCCCTGACCAGAGGCTCAGAGGGCAAAGGAGGGGCTGGGCCAGCAGGAAAAGTGTGGGCGTGAGCCTGGGAACAACAACTGCACAGGAAGTGAAGGGGGCAGGGGGAGGGAGGAGGGAAGGGGATGAAACAATGATGGGGGCTGGAGCTCCTCCCATAGGACAGAGGCAGAAACCTTAGGGGTCTCAAGCAGACATTCCACCCCCACCCCCGGGGCCTGACCCAGGCTGTCTTGATCAAATTATTGAGACCAAGTGTGCCCCCTTCCTCCACGGCAAAGGGAATGGTCACATTTTTGTTGTTTCCTTTTTTTTTTTTTTTTTTTTTTAAGACAGGGTCTCTCTGTGGAGCCCTTGGTCATCCTGTGACTCACTCTGTAGAGCAAGCCAACCTTGAACCCAGAGATTTGCCTGCCCTCCACCTCCCTCTGCCTCCCGAGTGATGGGATTAAGTGTGCACCACTGGGGCTGGAGAGATGGCTCAGCAGTTAAGAGCACTGACTGCTCTTCCAGAGGTCCTGAGTTCAATTCCCAGCAACCACATGGTGGCTTACATCCATCTGTAATGAGATCTGATACCCTCTTCTGATGTATCTGAAGACAGCTACAGTGTACTCACATACATAAAATAAATATATGAGTATTTAAAAATAATAATAACTACTGATGAGCTGAAGCTTTTTTTTGTTTTTGTTTTTTTTTTTGTTTTTCAAGACAGGGTTTCTCTGTGTAGTCCTGGCTGTCTGGGAACTCACTCTGTAGACCAGGCTGGCCTCGAACTCAGAAATCCACCTGCCTCTGCCTCCCAAGTGCTGGGATTAAAGGCATGCGCCACCACCGCCCGGCTGAGCCGAAGCTTTAAAAAAAGGTGCACCACCACTGCCTAGCTGTCATTTTCAACACTGGGGACTGACCCCTGGGCTTTGCACAGGCTAGGCAACTACTCTCCTAATGTGCTATCTCCTGATCCTCAAAGGAAATTTAAAAAAAGTCTACTTTAGTATATGTTCAACTTAAACTAATCATTATTATTATGTATGCATGTGTGATCACGAATGTCTAAGTCAAGAGTATTATTTGTAGGAACTGTTTTTTCCCTTCCACCATATAGGTTCCAGGAATCAAACTAGGGTCACAAGGCTTATGGGCAAGCACCTTTACCCACTGAGCCATTTTGCTAGCACTCTAAGGAAAATTTAGGCTCAGAAAACACTCTCAGTGCCAGAACTGATTTATTTCCCCAAATGATGACACCAAGCCTCCTTCTGCCTCCTTACTTCCATATCAACAGACTCAGGGACCATAATGAAGGACTTTATTCACTGGCCCAAGAGTCTATAAAACCCTGTCTTCATTCCCATTTCACGGTGGGACCCCAGCCTACAGGGGCAGGAAGTGTGTGGTCATAGTGCTAGACCCCCAGGTAGGGTGGAGGCCTCTACACAAAACCCATGCTCCTCTTCTCCCTGCAGCTCCACACCTAAGCAAAAGAGTTACCGTACAGGACCACTTCCTAAGCTAAATCTTCCCCCTTCTTTACTGCCAGCAACAGCACACCGTCCTGACACCACCGGCCCACTGCTCCAGATCTCAGGACTTCACACAGTAGGATGGACCTGAGCCATGGGGAAATACTGAAGTTATACTCTCCAGGTGAGGCCCAGATTGCACATACTGTAAGCAGGGGACCCTCTGCTCTTCTGAAGGTCGGGGTGCCAGCAGCATCGCACCAGTACAAGAAAAAGGCAGGGGCGAATGATCCCAACACCTCCTCAGGACTCTGGGACACACCAGGTCCATCTTCCCTGATAGGAAGTGGCCACAGGTTCTGGTCCCTAAGCCCTCTCTCTGTCCAGTTAGTGTCCCCACCTCCCTAGTACATTCCCTCACTGCCAGACCTTACCCAGCAGAGGGGACACAAGCCAGAGTGCAAAGGCCTCCAGGGCCATGTCTGGGAGCTGCAGGACTTCACGGACTGCACGGTGCAGCTCATGGGCACTGATCGAGGACAGGTTCTCCACGGCCAGGGGCACTACTGTGTCATCAGCCAGGTACACCAGTACATCAGCTGCTGGAATACAGGTTGGGCAGGGTCAGCTGAGGTCCACCGCCACACCAATCAGTATCACCACCACATTCTGCTCCTTATCATGACCCAGGGTACAGCGATGCTTATGGCTCATGGTGCGTACACCTGTAGTCCCAAGACTACAAGGACACAGGAGGCTAAAGCTGGGGAAGTTCAAGTTCCAGGCCAGCCTGGGCTACATAGCAAGACCCAGTATTTTAAAAATAAACAAATAAAAGTGCTGCTTCTAAAGGATTTCTTGAGACCCCAAACCACCCACAAACTGGCCCAGGTACCAGCTACATTCCACCCTAAGGCTCACAGGGTGATAAAAAACCACCTCCCCTCCTCTGTAGTACCGAATACTGCTGTTTCCAATATTTCTCAGGTGGTAAAACAGAACAGGCCAACCCATCCTGAGGTCACAGTTCCCTATCAGGCTGGGAGCAAGGCCAACTAGTGACCTCTTGACTGTCTGGTTCAGACTAAGAGGACAATGAGGATTTCTAAGGTCACCCTGGGTTACAGCAGGTTCCAGGTCTCAGCTTCAGTAGAACTCTTCAAAACTTATAGGATCAATGCTGTGGCTTCTGCAGATAGCTTTAAGCAGTCCAGGAAATAACAAAACTCAAACAGCCAAATGTTCCCTTATAACAAGCTGGATTCCCATTTGAAGCCAGAGCCAAAGGAAGATGCCTGGCAGGTTGGCCAGACTTAAAGTCCCTGAACTACAAGTCCAGTCAAGGAGCACTGAGTTCAGAGGCCCATTCTCAACCTGCAGTCCTTTTCTGCTTCTTGCCTGACTCCAGTGAGTCTGTGTCCTTCATAAATCTGTAAAAACAGTTAATCACGCATCTTCAAAAGGTCATCACCAATCCAATGAGGCTGGTGAGAGCATACAGTTAGCACAATTTAGAAGCTTTTTAGATTCTGGTCTTTTGTGCTTCAGCAGCTACTTTGAGAGACCAGGAGACTGAGGTTCAGACCCACTTTACAGGTAGAAAAACCAGCCTCAAAGGCTCAAGTTCATGATCGACCGTGGTCTGCTCCAGCAGTCTGAGCCCGAACAACCTCTCTAGGGCCTAATTTCCTCCCAATAAAATGAAGAGGTGGAGAATCCCTGCTTTTAAAGAGCTGTCTGCAAGAAAGAAATGGGACAAAGAAAGTGGTGTCACTTTCCAATCATGTGAATCATTCGAAGACAAAGGAGAGAAGGTTCAGGAGTGCGGCTAGGGTCACTCAAGCCCAGCTAAGTCCTTTGATTTCTATGAGTCTGCCACACCTAAACACATCTTACTACTTACTACATGATTAACTTACTGAAAAAGACAAACACCAGTCATGTCCCCAGGGTTGGAACCAAAAAGGGTACAGATGAGATGAAAAGAAGAAAGAAGAGACCTACCTCTGGCACCCACTGAAGAGACACTGCTTCGGTGGGACCGCTCCGCAGGGCCGGGCTGCCCCGCGTTGCCTTCTGCCCCCTCCATCTGCTATAGGAATGCCAGACAATTAATGGGAGTCTTGAGTAGATGGTTTTCTGAAGCTCTCAAACAAGAAGCAAAGGGGTCCCGGGCTTTGTCTACAATTCTTAATCTGTGTACAGAGAACAAATATATAGGCTGAAAGTAGAGAGTGACCCTCAGCCGAGTGCAGATCGGGTGGGCTGGGTCAGGGCAGTGACCGTCAGGTACAAGGGTCTCAAGTCTCTCTAGCAAGAAATGGCCAGGGCGCGCCCCTGTCCAGGGCGGGGACACGGGCAGGGTGTGGCCACGCTCTCACCTCGCAGGGTCGCAGAGCCCGCTGCCTCACTCCAGAATGCCACCCGACTCAGGCCTCCAGTTCTGGACCCAACGCTACGCCCGCCAGCGGGGTCCTGTCCTACCGAGGGTCGATTCGCCGGCGTTGCACCGCGGAAGCTGCCGCGGGAGGAAGCACAAATCCGAGGCCCCGCCTCTCCGACTGAGGGAGCCAATAGGAGCCAAGAGTCTCGGCGCACGCGTACTCACGCATTTCGTCCTTTGGTCCCTCCTACCTACCCCGGTTCCTAGCTTGGTTAGGTCACGCCCCTGACATACCCAGTCCTGTGTAGTCCGTCCCCCGTCGCCCCCACCCCCCGCACAGCCACCTACAAGAACAGTGTTCCTCCATGCATAAGACCCTTGGTTTGTAATAGGATGTGGAGAAGATTCATGAAAACCAAGGATGAGGGCGCGAACTGTGCTGCTACCGCTCCGTGTGACTTGACTGGGCCCCTCTCTGAAATGGAGATGCTTCCCGGGGACTCACCTGGTGGGTGGATGGTGTCGCAGTCCTCTCGCCGTTCTAAAGGCCTGAAGGGTACTGGCTCTTGGCCTTGGATAGGAGTCAGGGCGCTGGACAAGTCCCTTGTTCTCCTGATCTGTTTTTCACCTGAAACACGAGATTGGACTGAATGATTCTCAACAATCTCTTTCACTCTCAAACGATGTGTGTACGTTGGAAACATAGGACTTGCTGAGCTTCCAGGATGCAGTCACATAAACCTGGCTGTCTTACACACAGCCTCCAAGATCTTGAGGTTCCAGGCATTATGATTTCCAAAGTCTTATCACCAACTTGTTCTGACAAACCAAACAAGCCTTTAATCCCAGCAGAGAGAGACAGAGACAGGCAGATCTCTGCTTTCCAGGGCAGCCAGAGCTAGACAATGAGACCTTGTATAGGGGGCGGGGGAGAGACAAGCAAACCTATAGTAGGCGGGCCAACCGTGGAGGCAAATGCTTGTAATATTAGTACACGGATGATGGAGGCAGGAGGATTAGCACGAGTCAAGGCCATACTTGGCCAAACAGCTAGTCCAAAGTCAGCCTACAATATGTGATGCTCTGCCTCAAAAGAGAAAAAAAAAACTACAAAAAAATCATCAGATATTACCGAAGGCCACAGTATTGCTATAGAAGATACAAACCATTACGGGCAGAGAGGAGAAAGTCTTCAGTTTCTTCTTATCTACCATGTGCTGGACATGGGCCAAGTCCTTTCTTCTGTGTCACATGTCATCTTACGGGCTCTGTGAATGGAACCAAGAGGATTAGTAGCTACCATTTATGTGTTGGATGCTTTAAAAATTCTGTATGTGTGTTGCTCCAGGTTAAACCCAGGACCTCATATATGTGAACCAAACACTCTACTCCCGAGCTACACCTGAGAGAAACAGGTAGGGAAAACACTCATACACATAAATCTTACAAAATTGGAAGTATATATATTTTTAATTTTAGACTCTACCCATGAGAAAATGTGATAATGATCTTTCTGAGGTCAGCTTCCTTTTTTTTAGGATGATGATCTTCTAGTTCTACCCATTTGCTTGCAATTGACACCATTTTATTGTCCTTTACACCTCAAAACCACATTGTATATGTGTCCAGTCCTCTGTTGGACTTTTTCATTCTTCTGGCCACTGATGCTATTCCTGACCTTTCTATTCATTCATCCTTTTGTCGCTCATTAGCATGTACCATGTCTACCCTGGGCCACATTCTCTAACCCTTCAAACATGTCAGTGAATCAGCAGCCATAGGTCCTTGACTGCTCAGACAACCAATTAGCTGCTTATAATAGGTCAGCAACAAGAGTAAGGGTAAGGGACTTGGCCAGGGCCTGACTTCTGTCCAAGGCCAAGAGCCAGTAGAACAGGCCTTCAGAACAGGCCCCGGAGGACTGCGACACCATCCACTGCTCAGAGCCTCCTGGGTCCCAGGCCTTCAGAAAAGGCCCTGGAGGACTGCAACACCATCCACTGCTCAGACCCTCATGGGTCCCAGGCCTTCAGAACAGGCCCTGGAGGACTGCGACACCATCCACTGCTCAGAGCCTCCTGGGTCCCAGGGAAGCATCTCCATTTTAGAGACGCTTCCAGTCAAGTCACGTGGAGTCACATGGAGTGGTAGCAGCTCGGGCCCTCGTCCTTGGTTTTCATGAATCTTTTTTTTTTTTTTTTTAAAGATTTATTTATTTTATTTATGAGTACACTGTAGCTGTCCTCAGACACACCAGAAGAGGGCATCCAATCTCATTACGGATGGTTGTGAGCCACCATGTGGCTGGGATTTGAACTCAGGACCTCTGGAAGAACAATCAGACCGCTGAGCCATCTCTCCAGCCCCGGTTTTCATGAATCTTTACCACATCCTATTACATATCAAGGGTCTTATGCATGTAGGTGGCTGTGTGTGTGTGTGTGGGGGGGTAGTGATTACAACTATCTCTGAGATGCCTTGTGGAGAGGTCTCACTAAGAAGGGGAGATTTCAGCCCCAGCTTGAAGGAGGCCTGAGAGAGTATGTCAAAGAAGAGGAAGCACTGCGGCATTAGGGCCTCGAGGCTGAGAGCCCTCTTCAGTGGAGCAGGAAGCAGGACATGAGGTCAGAGGAGAAGGGCGGTACTGTGAGGGCTCAGACAGTGTAGAAAAGACTCAGCCTCTTCCTTTTTAATTTTTAAAGAAAGGAAATTTGTTTGTTGCAGTTTATAGACAGGGAAATCTAAATCTAAGCCCCGGCATCTGCTGAGGACCTTCTTAGCCCATCATCCTGAGGCAGAGAGGCAGGAGAGCAGGATTTGGGTTTTGGTGTAGTGTAACAGTGGGCCGTTGTGCAGTCAAAAGCCCATTGTTCCTTCTCCTGGGCAAGAGGAGGCCGTGGTTCTGATTCATGGCTGTAAACAACTCTGGAGAGAGCAGACAAACAGGCTTCAGGGCCTGGTGAGTCACTTCTCGGGCCGGGCCTCTCTTTTTTGGGTCATTATTCTGACTAGGCTTAGGTGGCTGCTACAGGCCACTGTAGCCTGGGACTGCCACCTTGTGGCCACGTTCTGACTTCATGTAGCCTCACAGTTTGTCAAGGTAGGTGGGAATGAATGAGAATTTGCTGTGAACTGGCTGGTCAAGCAGGGCCTTGATCCTTGCTCACTAAGGCAGCCTTGGAGAGGCTCACCAAACTAGGACTCAGCTGCCATCCTCTGTGACCCAGCATGGCTGTTACTGTCTAGGCACAGAACTCAGGCTAGCCGTGGTTGTCAACCTGCCCCTAGAGATTCCATACTTTTCAGGGCTCTTCCAGTCTCAGGGTCACAGACGTTGGCTCACTCTCGCTAATGGTTGCCTGAAGTCTGGGCACTGGGCCACCACTCACCCTCCAGCCAGGGTTAAACATTAGTGGGAGGTTATCGGGTTTGGAAAGGGGGTGGGGAATCTCACTTGCAACAGTCTCCTGCGGGCCTGCTTGGAGTACCAGTTCCCACCGGAGCCCATAAAATGCCTGTGGAAGAGTTTGTGGCTGGCTGGATCTCTGGTGAGACATTTTTCTTCTTTCTGTCATATCACCCCTAGGGGTGGGTGGCTTCCCTGGGAGGATGGGGTGTAGAGAGGAGTTGTTCCCTCTGGAGCACCCAGCAGCCAGCTGTCCCCAGAGCCTTCTGGGAATGGCTAAGGAGGCAGAGGGGAAAGCAGCAAGGAGGAACTGCTTCTGTATCCCAAGACCATACTCCAGAGAGTGATGGGGATCTGACAGCCAAGGCACAGCCTCACCCAAGCCCTTCTCCCAGACCAGTGTGAGGGGCCCAGATACATTCACCTTTGATCTCTCCGGCTGTCCTTATTTTACCTTTGGAAATCTGCCCTACCTGGTATGCACTCCTGAGGCTTGAGAAAGGACACTGTGAACCTGCCCCTGGTGATGCACCCCAAGCCCCAGAAACAGCATATTCTGCAGAGAATAAGACAAGCCAGTGGATGGCTTTCTCCCTTGGGTTCAGCAGGACGCTAAGAAGGGCTCCCCACTCTGTACTGATAATTGTGACAAGGTAGAAGGCAGGAGGAAGTGGCCAGCAGGGCCTGTTCTCATTCAAGGCCACAGAACTCTTCGAGGAAGGCTGAAGTACACTGACACAGTTAGGAATAGTAGCCACTCATTCTAGAGCAGTGATTCTCAGCCTTCCTACCGCTGTGACTCTTTAATACAGTTCCTCATGTTATCGTAAACCCCAACCATAACATTATTTTGTTGTTACTTTATAATTAATTTTGTTAGTTATGAATCGTAACATAAATATCTGATCTGCAGCCCTCAGTGGGGTCACCACCCACAGGTTGAGAACTACTGGTCTAGTGCCTCATCTTCCACAGTCAGAGCTGAGGGTAGTGTTACACCTGGTTCTTTCCTATTGTGTGTGTGGCCTCACATGAGGCCATGGGTCTCCCTCCTTTGTCTCAGCACTTTTGTGATGCAGTACCAGGTGTGGTAGAGAAGCTGGGTAGGGCGGCTGGAATATCTGTGCAGTCCCAAGAATGTGGGTGGTGGGTGTCTGAGTACATGCAGCCTCCTGTTCCAGCCTGCATCCTTCTTTCCTCTAGCATAAACTTGCTTGCTAGACTTGGCACACAGGCCTCACTCATACCACCTTCTTGCCACCGCAGGAGCCGTGGGCCTGGTCCTGGGACACCCATTTGACACTGTAAAGGTGAGTGTAGCAAAGGCACCAGAGGAATAGATGGTCTGGCTGGAACCTGGGAGAGAGACTGGGCCTGGCTGACTGGGTTGGCTCATTGGTGCCTGTCAGGATCTGCTGCGTGGGTGACCTGGCTGTCACTGTGGGAGCAGTCCTGGCTTGCCCATCTGCCTTACATGCCCAGTGCTTTCCATTCAGGTGCGGTTACAGACCCAAAACACATACCAGGGCATTGTGGACTGCGTAGTCAAGACTTACCGCCATGAGTCAGTAGGTAGCTCACTTCTTTGGGGTAAGAATCATCTGGGGCAGGTGGTGCCTGTTTCCTTTTGCTTGCTGCTTGCTACCAACTTCTAAGTCTTCAACTTTGAGGTTATCTGAGAGTCATTTAGCACCTCAGAAGTGGAGTTAAGGTCCTCACAGCCTCCTCCTCCTGCTCTGTCTGCCTGGGACAGGGCTTGGGTAGAAGTGTTGTACAGCTCAGAGGCCTGGCCAGAGCTGGAAGTGGGACACAGAAGCCCACCATGACTAACATTGCTACCATGTTGTTCCGCAGATCCTGGGCTTCTTCAAGGGAATGAGCTTCCCCATTGCCAGTGTAGCCCTGGTCAACTCCGTCCTGTTCGGAGTGTACAGCAACACACTGCTGGCACTAACAGCCACCTCCCATCAGGAGCGACGTGCCCAGCCACCCAGCTACACAAACATCTTCATAGCAGGTTGTACAGGGGGCCTCCTGCAGGTGAGAAGGTTGTGCATGGGCACACATGCAGGTGGGACAGTGATGGATCTGAGTCCTCCACCCCAGGGACTCCCAGCTCTGCATAAGAAGGCCTTCTAAGCAGTACATGTAGACACTGCTCCTATTAGCCTAGCCATGTGTGCCTGGCCAGGCTGGAGGTGAAAGGTCATGGAGACTAGGGGTTGGGAGGTGGGGAAAAAAAGCAGAGAGTTGGGGGTCAGTGTGAAGAAGATGCCATGCTGAAGCAGCCAATGTCTGCACTCAGGTTTGTCTACCTTCAGAGGTCTCTACCAGTCCCAGAGTTGTGGGAAGACTATGTAGCATGGTGACCTTTGACCCTGAGGAACTGTCATACTCAGTAGAGTTGAGTTTTGTCTTGAAGTGATCCTAAAGTGGTCCAAGAGATCATCCTGCCTGCTCAACCAGGCCTTTGCCTGCAGTACTGGGTAAGCGTAATCTCTGAGCCTTGCCTGAGGTCACAGGTCACAGATGCCATGGTCGGCCAATCACTGCTTGAGTCGCTCCCATCATTCATTTCAGTCTTTGTTCTCAGCCCTGGAGTGAGCAGGTTTCTGTGGGGTGTGGTGAAGACTAGACGAGCTTCTAGGACCCAGAAGGGACCCAAGCTAAAGGGAGTGTCTGAGCTGAATGGAACCAAGGGACAGGTGCCAGCTCAGCCCTACACCCCAGATGGGCTCCTGGATGACCCTCTAATGGGTACCTGCCCTGATGCCACTGATACTTCATAGGGCAGAGAGCAAGCTCAGAGGACAAAGTCAGGGTGTGCACAGGAGCAGTTAATGATTACAGAGGCTTCGGAGAGAGCGCTGACTTCCCTTTCCTTCCCTTCTCCTCTTCCTCCTCTCCCACCTCCTTCTATTTTTTAAAAAAATTACTTGTTTTTTCATTTTATGTGTATGAGTGCTTTGCCTACATATATATATATCTGCGGTGCCTCCTGGAACAAAAGTTACTACAGATGGTTGTGAGCTGCCGTGTGGGTGCTGGGAACTGCACTGTGGTCCTCTGCGAGAGCAGCACGTGTTCTTTAACACTGTCTCTCCAAACCTCCTTCGTTTAATGTTTTCAAAATAGGATCTTGCATGTAGTCCTGGTTGGCCTGTAATTCACTACGTAGATCAGGCTAATCTAAAACTTATGACTCAGCCATCTGTACTGTGATCTAAAACTTATGACAAAATCCTCTTGCCTTTCCCCAAATTCTGGGATTACAGTCATATGCTACCCGCCCAAGCTTAATGTTCCTTATTATAGTCACATTTCTTAAACTCAGAGGCCTGTACCCCTCAAAAACAGGAAGAACCCCAGTAAAGTGACCTGACATAGGCCCAGCCAGGCTCTACTTCTCAGTGATCTTTTCCTCATTTCTCTGAAAAGCAGAGCCAGGAACTGCTAGGGCCACAAATGGTGCCTGGGTTCAGGAACCTGCTAAAGCCAGGCTGTACTAGGACACCCGTCAACAGGGTTTTGGAGCCAATTGTGTTTCAATGAGGAAATGAGAGGCAGGGACAGGAGCTGAAGGCTTCTGTTGGCAAAAACTTTGCTTGTGGCTTAGTTGAAGCTGCCCTGGTTAGGGGTTAAGTAACCTTTTAGGCTTTGTGGTTCCCAACCCATGAGATGCCCCTGCTTCAGCCCTGGAGCTGTGGTCAGGAGCCCACCCAGAATGTCTCAGCTCAGCCCTGCTGGCAGGCCCTGGGAGAAATATCAGCCCCATCTTACGAAGGGGCTCAACCCTCTGCTGCGGCAGAAGCACCCAATGTGGCCTGCACCTGCTCAAACCCAGCACCAGTCAGCTCCCAGCCCCTCCACTACCAACCAGACCTAGAGCTGAACAAGGCTTCACATGCTTCTAGCCAGACCCAGACACCAAGCACACACCAATGACATGTCAGCTTCAGCCAGGACCCTGCCTCTGTCTCCCAAGTGCTAAGGTAACAGTACGTGTGTGACACTGCCAGCAGTTTTGATTCTTTTGAAAAAAAGATTTATCTTCAACAACAACAACAAAAAGATTTATCTTAATTCTAAAATTAAATCTAAATTCTATGAAAGCCAGAAGAGGGTGTATGATACCCTGCAACTGGAGTTACAGGCAGCTATGAGCTATCCCAGATGGGTGCTGGTACCCAGACTCAGGTCCTTTAGACAGGAGTATAAACTCTTATCCACTGAGTCATTTCTCCAGGCCTGGTTGTTGTTTTTCTTTTGGAATAAATGTCTTAAACTTAATTATTCTTTTATGCATATGGATGTTTTACCTGTATGCATATGTGTGCACCATGTGCATGCCTGGTGCCTACCAGAGCCAGAAGAGGGTGTTGGATCCCCTGCAACTGGAGATACAGATGGCTATACAGAGCTACCATGTGGATGCTGGGAATTGAGTCTAGGTCCTCTGAAGGCGTAGCTTAACTGTTGAGCCCCTATCTCTCAGCCCCGGTAACTGGGTTATTGAGACAGTTTCATTTTGCTGGAGCTCACACTAGCCTGGAGCTCACTATGTAGCTTTGGCTGGCCTTGAACTCTTTGTCGTTCTTTCTTGGAAGCCTTTAGGTTACAGGCAGGAGCCCAGCACAGCCAGCCAGAGCACCGGTTACAGGCAGGAGCCCAGCCCAGCCAGCTAGAACCTCATTTGGGCTTCAGTAGCTTCTCTTGCTTTGTCTGGAGACAGGGTCTCACTCTGCAGCACTGGCTGGTCTGGGATTTGCTCTGTAGACCAAGATGGCCTTGAAGTCACAGAGATCTGCCTGCCTCTGCCTTCCTAGTGCTGAGATTAAAGGCACATGTCACCCTGGCCAGCTAGCTGCTTGACATAGTTACATCCCTGACTCAAACCTCACTAGAGTGGTAACCTCCTCTTCCCCACATCTTCTCAGCTCAGTCCAGTGCCACCCCAGATCTGTGTCCTGGCTGTCTAAGGGCTCTAGTGCCTACCAAATCCCACTGTTACCACCACCTCACCCCTATAAGCCCTTTTGGTTAGAGGCAGGGAGGGGTACTCCGGGGCTTCAGAGAGGTGTGATGCAGAAGGGAGAGCGACTCTGTGATGTCGGGTCTCTTCTGCAGCTTCAGCTCCTTACTGTTTCCTGCTGCTGAACCTTTACAGGGAACCGGGGAGCGCAGTCCCACATGTCCTTGAATGCCTGTGCCTGCTATCTCAGGAGGAGGGGCCAGTGCTCAGCCTATCAGGCCTGATAATACGGGAGGCAGCATGTTCTCAACTGCACCCAGACATTTGGCCAAACGCAGTCATGTATGTGGGAGGCTGGGAGTTGATGGCAGGAGTCTCTCTGCCCTGTTGTGATTATAAGCAGACATTTTCCAAGCCTAAGCCCCACCAAGTCCCCTCCATGTCTTTCTCCACAGGCTTACTGCCTGGCTCCTTTCGACCTCATCAAAGTCCGTCTGCAAAACCAGACAGAGCCAAGGATGCAGGCAGGAAGCTCTACACCCCGGTACCGGGGGCCTGTGCACTGTGCAGCTTCCATCTTGAGAGAAGAAGGACCCCAGGGTCTGTTCAGAGGATCCTGGGCCCTGGTATTGAGAGACACTCCTACGCTGGGAATGTACTTTGTCACCTATGAAGGACTGTGTCGCCAGTACACACCAGAAGGCCAGAATCCCAGTGAGTGGGGTGAGGTGGGGTGGGGTGGGGGTACAGCAGAGGCTAGGGAGGGAACAAGGCGGGGACTGGAAGGTGCTCTATTCTCGTCTGACTCAACCCTGGCTCTCTGTCCTAGGTTCAGCCACAGTTCTGGTGGCAGGGGGCTTTGCAGGCATAGCCTCCTGGATCACGGCCACTCCTTTTGATGTGATCAAGTCCCGGATGCAAATGGATGGGCTGAAGGGGAGAAAGTACGGAGGGATGCTGGACTGTATGGCAAGCAGCTTCCGGCAGGAGGGGATAGGGGTCTTCTTCAAGGGCATGACACTCAACAGTGCCCGTGCCTTTCCTGTCAACGCTGCCACCTTCCTTAGTTATGAGTACCTGCTGCGTTTGTGGAGATGAGCCTGGCCAGGCAACACTGGCAACTCCACAGCAGAATCATGGCTGATAGCAGCTTGGAAACCAAGCTAAAGCACCTAACTTTCAAGTGTAAAAGCAAGAGGTGCCTTGTATCATCCAGAGAGCTAAGGAGCCAACGTGCAAGAGACAATGAACCTGGCCCTGTACAGACTCCAAGGCACACCCTCCTCCAGCCCACCCACCAGGCCGCTTCTGTCCAGGAAGCAGGGGCACAAAGTACATAAAAATCATCTAGGCTACCATGCCATAGCTGCCCCTCTGAAGGAACGCTCAGAGACCAGTCACTGTCCTGGCATCACCCAGCCCTGGAGTTCTTCTGTCTCCCTGGACAGAAGAATGACTCTTGTCTTCATGTCCAGAATCCTTCAGGGAAACCCAGGTCCCAGGCCCCTGGCTGTCCTACCCCACTAAGTGGCCTTCTCTTGGTTACTCCCTGGTGTGGGCTCTCATGTCCCAGGAGTGCCGTGGGTGGTGTAATTGTCCTCCAGTGGCCTACTCTCCTCAAGATCCAGGCAGAGCTCTTTATCTAGGGGTCCTTCCAGCCCTACCTGTGCTGACTGTGGGGTACCCCAGCCCCCAGCCCTCCTGCCTACCTCAGTCATACCATTGTGCAGTGCTTTGTAGTTCATTGTTTTGCTCCTCTGAGTCTTTAGTCTGCTCAAGTCTTGTGGTCAAGGTTGTACTTCTGTCTCTTGAATAGATACATGCAATAAAGTTTCATTTGATGCAATACTGATGATACCTTTCTGTCTCTGTTCCCACCACACACGTGGCTGTGAGCCTTCTAACCCCCATGTCTGTTCCCTGGCCCCTCTCCAAGTTGTCTCTTCCTCACCCACATCTTTCCTTAGATTTGTCTGATTATCTATCTCAATTGCTAAATTAGATTTTAAAACTGCCTGAGGGGCTGGAGAGATAGCTCAGTGATTAAGATCATTGGGTGTTCTTCCAGAGGAACCAGGTTCAAATCCTAACATCCACAGGGCAGCTCATTCATCTGTAACTCTGGTGGATCTGGTGCCCTCTTATGGTACCTTTGGGAACTGCATGCACTTGGAGGCAAAATACCCATACACACAAAATAATAAAAAAAATATTTTGAGGGAGTGTTCGGTTTATCCATGTAGCCCTGGCTGTCCTGGGACTCACTCTATAGTTCAGGCTGGCCTTGCTAGGCTGATCCCCCAGGCTATGCCTCTTGAGTACTGGGATTAAAAGGATTAGCCCAGCATAAAAATACTAACAACAACAAAACTGGCTGAGAGCTGGGCAATGGTGGCACATACATTTAATCCAGCACTCAGGAAGCATAAGCAGGCAAATATCTAAGTTAAGGCCAGCCTGGTGTATAGAGTGAGTTCCAGGACAGGACAGCAGGGCTACACAGAGAAACTCTGTCTCGAAAAACCATAGATAGGTAGGTAGATAGATGATAGATAGATGATTAGATAGATAGATAGATAGATAGATAGACAGACAGACAGATAGACTTTACTCTTTCATAGCCTCTCATTACTCTGAGCTCCTTCCCCGAGCAGGGGATGCCTGGAGACATTTGCTCTTGATGAATGTCTTAACTTCCTTCTGCTAATCACATCTGGGTCTCTCCCAAAAGGATTTGCTCATGCTGTTCTCCTTGAATTTGTACCTCTCCATCTTTCAGTTCCTGGCTCCTTAAAGACATCTTTCTGTTTCCTCTAGTTATGTCAATGGTTCCGAAGCACCTGGAGGGTTTGTTCAAGTAGTTTGCTGACTTAAACCTCAGAGTTGCTGACTCAGTATGTTTTGGGAGGGTAGGAGGATGTATATTTCCCTAAGTTCCCAGCTGCAGCTGCAGGTGTGGGCCACACACTGAGAACCACTAGACATGTTTTTCACGTCACCCCTCTTCCTTGGTCTGTAATTACATGCTCACCTCTGAGTGTCTTTTCTAGGTGATTCTGATTATATCTGTCTCTCTAAACCATGAACTCTGCTTTTAATCCTTTAAAGTGCCTTTAAGTACTTGGGAGGCAGAAACAGGAGGATCTATGTGAGTTCCAGGCTAGCCTGGCCTACAGAGCAAGTACCAGGACAGCTGAAGCTATGCAGAGAAACCCTGTCACAAACAACAACAACAACAAAAACCAAACAAACAAGCCAAAACCCCCAAACCATGAACTCCACATAGCAGACTTCACTCCTAATTCCTTATCATAAAAACTAGAGCTGCATAGCGGGCTGTCCAAGAAATAGTTCTGAGAGTCTAGGGATGCAGGGTAGTTGGTAGAGTGCTTGTCGTGTAAAAAGCTCTGGATTGATCCCCTGTCTCATATACATGGGGCATGGTGACACACATCTACTATAATCCTAGCACTAGGTAAGTGGGGCAAAAGATCAGAAGTTCGAGGTTTGTTAGATATCAAGTTCAAAGCCAGATTGGGTTACAAGAGACTCTGTCTCAGAAAAATAAAGTTTTATAAACATAACTTTAAGCTTGGTAACTGAGCAAGATGTGAGGAAACTTCCCAAAGTCCCAGAAATAGGGGACATGAGGCAAGGCTCTGGGGCCAGGGCTGCCTTCTGGAGTAAATGCTGACTCCATGACCTGGGACACATAGAGCCATGGGGAGAGAACCTTGCAAACAGCATACTAAACCTTGAGTTCTTAGGTTTTGGGGAAGCTAAGTCCAAGACTCAGAAACTGAGCCAAGATCCTCAAGGGACTACACCAGTACAAGGTTGGACTAGAAAATCTCCAGCCACCAGGAAAAGAAAAAAGAAGACTGCCTCTCTCCCATAAGGTCTGGCTCCCTTAGAGAATCCTGCTCCCTAGAGCCTGTTTCTGAGAAGCTAACATTGCATCTTTTTTACGCCCCCTTCTGTTCAGAAGAAGCAATTACACATTTCTCTAGAGGTGAGCCACAGGTTTAGATTGGACCGGTGGAGGATTCCCCAATACACATGAAATACCCATGATGAGATGAGCAGAGTACCTAAACATGTAGCCCTCTCTCTCCTTTCTTTGAGACAGGGTGTCACACCCAGCTCTGAGTAGACATCTTTCATGAAAAAGGTACAGATAGCCAGCAAGAGTTGGACAAGGGGCTGGACCAAGTGTTGTGCGGCAGGAGACCTATGTGAGTTAAAGGCTAGCCTGATTTACATAGTGAGTCCCAGGTCAGCCAGAGGTTCATGGTGAGACTGTTTCAAAACAACAAGAACTAAAACCAACCAACAAACCAACCCACAGAAGAGCTGGGCAAGGCAGTGCACATCTGTAATCCACCCTTCTGGATACTGTAGGCAGATAAAAGTTGAAGGCTAACATGGGTTAAATACAAAGACGCAGGAACTTTAAATGACTTTCAACAATATTAAGAGAAATAAAATGAAAAATGGTGCATTATGTCACCTCTCAGCTCCATTAGCATGGCTGTGATGAAGGCAAAAGATGAGTCGTGGTGGAGAGGGTCCGATGGTAAGAACACTTACTGCATAAGTGTAACTCGATCCCTGGAACCCACAGAGAAGCCTGATGCAATGGTGCAGCTCAGTGAACCAGCATTCCTACAGTGAGACGGGAAGCTGCACTAGAGAAGCAGTTCAGTGTTAAGAGCCTTTGCTGCTCTTACAGAGGAACTGGGCTCAATTCCTAGCACCAATGGTGGCTCACAACTATTTATAGCCCCAGTTCCAGGGGCTTCTACACGCACAAATGTGGTATGCATACATGCATGCATAACAAAACTTTCATATACACAAAGTAAAAATAAATAAATCTAAAAAAATATTATGGGCTGGAGAGATGGCTCAGCAGTTAAGAGCACTGACTGCTCTTCCAGAGGTCCTCCTGAGTTCAATTCCCAACAACCACATGGTGGCTCACAACTATCTGCAATGGGATCCGATGCCCACTTCTGGTGTGTCTGAAGACAGCTATAGTGTACTCATGTAAATGAAATAAATAAAAAAATTTTTTTTGTTTTTTTCGAGACAGGGTTTCTCTGAGTAGCCCTGGCTGTCCTGGAACTCACTCTGTAGACCAGGCTAGCTTCAAACTCTCGAACTCAGAAATCCGCCTGCCTCTGCCTCCCAAGTGCTGGGATTAAAGGCGTGCGCCACCACCGCCCGGCTTTTTTTTTTTTTTTTTTAAGATTTGTAAGGTTTTAATAATTTTTTAAAAAGATTTATTTATTTTGCCGGGCGATGGTGGTGCACGCCTTTAATCCCAGCACTTGGGAGGCAGAGGCAGGCGGATTTCTGAGTTTGAGAGTTTGAAGCTAGCCTGGTCTACAGAGTGAGTTCCAGGACAGCCAGGGCTACTCAGAGAAACCCGGTCTCGAAAAACAAAACAAAACAAAAAAAAACAAAACAAAACAAAACAAAAAAAAAGACAAAAGCAAAAGGCTTTAGTGGTCCTGGTTTCATTCCCAACCGAATGAATGAATAACTGATCTGCACCCTGTTCTCCTTTGTGTCACACTAGCATCCATCCTCTGAGACTGACCTCTCCACTGACCGGGGAGAACACAGTTCAGCTCTGAGTGCCACGGTGACTGATAAACTCGACATGGAACAGATAAGAGCTACATGGTATCTGCCAATATAAACAAGTTTCCCGTGTAATGAATGACCTGGTCATAGGTCAAAGTACTAGACTTCAAATAGCTCTCAGTTAAGTGTCTCATTACAGTGTGTGTAATATACCTATATTACAAACACTATAGCCAACCACTACTAATACAGGTTACTAGCTGTTCAATTTACTGGGCTCTCAGAACATCTCACCTCCACATATGCCACACTCAGGTGTGCTCCCCTACTCCAGTCGGCCCATGCTTGCTAGCCTTTCCACTTTTCTCTCTATTCAGCTGTCTAATATCAAACCTCACCACTGGGTGGTTAGACAGCTCAGCAGGTAAAAGCACTTGCCACAAAGGCTTGGAGACCTGAGTTTGGTTTCCAAAACCCACATAGAGGAGAAAGGAGAGAACCAAGTGTGCGTGTGTGTGTGTGTGTGTGTGTGCGTGCGTACGAGAGCTTCCCCCACCCCACATAAACAATAAATAAAAATTAAAAAGAAAAACAAGGTTGGGCATGGTAGCATACACCTTTAATCTCTGCACTCAGAAGGTAGAAGCAGGTGGCTCGCTGAGAATTTAAGGTCAGCCTGCTCTACATATAGTGAGACCCTGTCTCAAAACCAAAAACAACACCCCCCACCCCCAACCAGCATCAAAACCGGCTCACTTCTACTGGGTTTCACTAGGCTTTGTGGGGCCAAAGCACTCTGCACAAGCCTGTCATTGCTTTCTGGTCCTGCTTGGCAGAGATGTCTCCTTTCCAATCTTGTCACATAGGAGGTTGTGACAAAAGGAACTGTAGTGAAATGAATCAATGGATGAAAAAGTGAAGTGAATGAACTGCTATTCCAGAGCTCACCGCCCTGCTCTGCCTTTGGCCTCTGCACCACAGTCTGATGCTGAAGTGATAAGAACTGCAAAGGTCTGGTCACCTGAGACTTGTCTTCAAGTTGTCTTCTTGTGTGGTCCAAGAGGAGGGTCCATGTGTGAAGGATTCTTCCTGATAAAGACTTCATCCTTCTCTCATGTAAACCATGCCTTGAGAAGGTGTTGGGGAGGGGTGGCAACTCAGTTGGTACAGAGCGAGCTCAGTAGGCTCAAAGCCCTGGGTTAACTTTAATCCCTAGCATCACATAAATCAGAGAATGATAGCAAACCCCTATAATCTTGGCCCTGGGAGGGGAAGGCAAGCAGATTAAGACGTTTAAAATCATCTTCAGTTATAGAGCAAGTTCAAGGCCAGCCCAGTACACAAGACCACATCCCAAAAAGAAAGTAAAAAGAAACTCTATACCCTGACTTTGTGGTAAAAACTTTATTTCCTGAAGCTGAAGTGGTTTTGACACAAAATTCAAGGAATGGGGCCACTGTTAGGAAGTCCACCTTTCTAGGTTCTACCCTATTTAGACTAACTCCCCACAAAGCTCTAGAAGTTTTACCAGGACCTAGAAGCTACAGGCCCAGATTCCCACTCCTGAGGAACCATCTGGAGATGTAGGCTTGAACAACTTTTCCTCTGACCTTAGACTTTGTGTTCCGACTTCCTTCTCGTGTGCACATACTATTTCCACAGGAGAGAGCCCGTCTGCCTCTGGAGAGGCGTTTCCATGGGAAACGGGAGAGGGAGACTGCAGGCAGTCATGGCTCCTCACAGACAGCAGAGCTGCTCCACTTCCATCTCACAGTCATAGAACTTCTCCAAGAGTTTTGCAGAGGTGCTGTTACATTCCAGCCACCTCCTCAAGGTACACAGTGCCTGTAGGGCATCAGCTTTGGTGGGCAAGGGCTCAAAGCTGTCTTCTTCCCTCCCATTGTCTTCAGTACCAGTCTCCTCTTTGCACACTCTGGGCCCTGGGTCCTCATCCTCCAGGTCCACAAAGTGAGAAAATTCCTCTTGGCTCAGGCCACTAGGGACGGGTGACATCTCAGTGTCTTTGTCCAGAGACAGGGGTGTTTTGCCTGGAGCGAGCCCTTCTTGAATGAAGCTACTCAAAATAAGCTGGCGAGGGACCTTGGCCCAAGCTGCGGCTACCATATGCAGAGCATCCAAAACTGTGATGCTGGCCCTCGCCTCAGCCAGTGAGGTGCCCTCTTTCCCACTCTGCATGGCAGCCAGTTTGCTCAGCAGACGGTGACGGTAATGGGCCTTAAAGGCCAAAACCACAGAGCCAGGAAGGGAAGGAGTGGTGCTGGAGGCGGAGAGAGGCAGGAGTCGCACGTGGTGGAGTCCAGGAGGGCTGGACCATTCTTCTACCACTCCAGAAGCCAGCAGCAAGGCTACCTGTCGGCCTTGCTGTCCCATGTCCTGGTCAAACTGTGCCAGCCACTCTGACCAGGGAATGGCTAGGTCAGGGTGATAAGAGGCAGGCAGTGCCTCAGTGTTGACCCCAAAGAAGCATCTTGGGGCAGCCTGGAGCCCACCCACAAATACTCTTCGCTTTTCTGTGCCTCTGCTGTTGGCACACAGCAATACTTGCAACCGATCACATTCAAACACTCTGCCAGGCACTGCTCGATACAACAAGGGTACTTCGGCACAACCAAAAACATCTTCTGGTGAGAAGTCTTTAAGAGAAAGAGGTGGCTGGGCCTGAGATAGGAGAACTGCAGGAGGAGGTTCAGGAGGGAAGAGAGGGACAAGGACCTGGCGAGCCCCAAAGCCCACATTGTTTCTGCGTTTCCAGCGGACCAGCCAGCCAATGCTGGGCACAAAATCCTGGCCCATGAGATCGGCCAGTTCCTTGGCCTTGTGGAGCAACATGGGCCCCGTTACATCCCAGGCCTTGGCCCGGGCAATGTGATACCAGCAGAGTAGAGCCTCATCGATCCCACTGTATTTGGATTCACGCTTCCGCTTCCGCTCATGGTTGGCTGTGCCACTGCACCAGTCGGCCAACAGCTTCTCCTTATTCTTGCAGATACGTGAGATCTGGGGCTGTGAGACCTGGAAGCGCCGGGCCACCTCTGACTGGGACATCTTGGACTCATCCAAGAGTTCCAGCACCTGGATTTTTTCAGCCAGGGACAGAGCGTGAAGCTTCTTCTTGGTGTTCAGCTCCATGATTCCCTGGGAACCTGCTGGGGTTAGAAAAGTAGGAGAGCGTGCAATAGGCTGAGGGCAAGAGGAATAGAAGAGTAGTACAGGACTCCTGAGGTCAGAGCAATCAGCTGGAAAGCACAAGGCTATCATATGCAGAGCATCCAAACCAGACCAGCTAAAAGAGACACGGGATGGCCAGGCTGAGGGAGGAGAGAGCTAGACTGCTAGAACAGAGCTGGCCCAGGCAGAGGAAATTCTGGGCTGGGGTGGAAGGATGAATAGAGGCCAAAGGGCAGCTGTAAAGACAAACAGGAGACAGCTGTAGAGACAACAAAGGAGCAACAACGGAGAGGCCTGGCGCTGAGGCTGAGTAAGGCAGGTGTAGGGGGACACTCAGGGTGCCAGGAAGGAGACTCCTGAGAGGAGATGAGGCCTAGGTTGAATTTTGATGGCTGAATGAAGGCGGTTGGTAGACTGAACGGACAGAGTTGAGGTGAACAGGTGAGGTGGTACGGATGACAAAGCCAGATGGATGGGGTCTGAAGGCGCTAGTTCAATTTGGTGCTGGCTGGGCGGGGTGATAAAGCTAGTCAATGGTTCAACCTGAAGGAGGGTGAAGGTGCCAAGACGACAAAGGGCGACAGGGTGAGGAGGCTGAGGGCAGCAAAAGGGAAGAAGTGTCCTCCGCCGGGTGATAGCCTGGAGGTGTATCAGAGAGAAGGGAGCACCGGCCAGGACGCGGGCAGCTCCTGAGCTGTGTTCTGCACTCCGGTTCGCTCCGCCTTGACCCCTAGTCAGTCGGCTGGACCGACACAGGCGTTGACCCAGCCAGCCCACCCACCCCGCCTCCCGCTCCACACCCACCTCCAGGCGCCGTCCCGCGGCTCCAGTCCCTGTCCCAGTCAGGTTCCTGAGCCTCGACAGAACCAGAGAGGGACGGGCGCCGCGACCCCGAGGGCAGAGCGCGCCGAGGGGCTGCTCAGGAACGGGCGCGCGCAAAGCAGGGCCCGCGCGCCGCCAGCGCCCGGGTCGTTCAAGGCTGGGAAAACCTCTTCGCCGCCCCTCTGCAGCCCCGCCTTAACAAACCTGATTAGCCATCAGAGGCAACTTGTCCCGCCTCCAGCTGCACCTGATTGGATGATGTGGAAGTGGCGGTTCGTCAGCCCTCTGGAGGAGGAGCTTCCTGAGCGGAGGGGCGGGAGTCAGAGCAAGGGTCTGGCGGGAAGACCTGGCATTAATGCCAGTCTCTTGCTGACCGCAGCCTTGGCGGCGGCTCAAACACTTTCAACCCCATGTTAGTCATTTCCCACCTTAACATTTAGTTCTGAACTAGGTGCAGATAATTTAGCCCTCCCTGCTCCTTAAACAGCCAGAACCCCACTTTTCCATAGGTTTTGAGCCCATCCATTTACCAGCGGATGCTGTCAGTCTCTCCAAGTGTCGTCTCCTGCGAACTTAAAATTTTCTCTTAAATCTATTTTAGTGGTCTCATTTGCACATTTCTTTTTTGGCCCTCAAGACTACTCAGTTGCCAAGGATAACTGCGTGACTCCCTGTACTCCTGGCCTACATAGCAGAACAGGCAGTGCATAGTCCAGACCACTCCGTGTAGTAGCAGGCCAAGGCTCAGCTTTCTATCGGCAACAATGACCTTAGGGTATTCCAGAAAAATCTGAAGACACTTCAGATGATACGTAAGTATTTAATTGAATCTAAAAAAAAAAAAAAAAAAAAAAGGTCAGGCATGGTAGCCTGTAATTCCAGTACTGCAGAAGGGTGAGGCAGGATTACAAGTTTGAGGCTATCCTAGGCTACACAGAAAACAAACAAACAGTATCAAATATGTGTGCACATTCATGTGTGCGTTTGTATGCTTTTTGTATGTGTGTAGGTGCACACATGACATAACTAGTGTGGAAATAAGGGGATAGCTTTGTCTGAGGGGGTTCCCTTCCTTGTTGAGGAAAGGTTTTGCTGTGTAGCACACTCCCAGTTGGATGTTAAGCTTCCTCCAGATTCTGTCTCCACCTCCATGTCCCTCTAAGAGTGCTGGAAGAACAGACACACAACATCCAGCTCCTTATCTGGGATGCAGGGACAAAATTCCGGTGATCAGGCTCACATTCAAAGTGCTTTTCTGCAATAGGGATGCAATGCCAGCCAATAAATAAATAAATGGGGGAAAAAAGAAAGTGCTTTAACAAAGGGGCCTGGTGACATAGCTCAGCAGTTCAAACAGGAGACAAGTGTTCAGGAACTGGAGATGGTGAAGAGCACTGTCTGCTCTTCTAAAGGTCTTGGATTGTATTCCCAGCACCTCAAAACCATCTTTAACTCCAGTTCCCAGCTATCTCAGATACCTGGTATACAAACATATATGCAGGCAAAACACTCCTTCAAAACAAAACAAAACAAAACAAAACAAAACACCCCCAAACCCACAAAGACCAGAGTTCAGTGGCTCAAAACTGCTTGTAATTTCAGCTCCATGGATATACCTTCTCACCTTGCCTCTGCACTAACATGCATATACTCATACAAATACTTTCTTTTTTTTTAAAGATTTATTTATTATGTATAGTGTTCTGCCTGCTTGTACATCTGCAGGCCAGAAGAGGGCACCAGATTTCATTATAGATGGTTGTGAGCCACCATGTGGTTGCTGGGAATTGAACTCATGACCTCTGGAAGAGCAGTCTGTGCTCTTAACCTCTGAGCCAACTCTCCAGCACACAAATACTTTTTCTTAAAACAGGGTCTCCTGGGGCTAGAGCAACAGCTCAGCAGTTGAGAGCACTGACTGCTCTTCCAGAGGTCCTCAGTTTAATTCCCAGCAACCACATGGTGATTTGCAACCATCTGAAATGGGATCCAATGCCCTCTTCTGCTGTGTCTGAAGACGGCAACAGTGTACTCATATTAGCCTGGCTGTCCTGGAACTTGCTCTGTCCACCAGCCTAGCCTTGACTCCTGAGTGCTGGACTAAAGGCCTGTGCCACCATGTCCAAGCTCATGGGGTTTTTTTTGTTTGTTTGTTTTGTTTTGTTTTTTTTTTTGGTTTTTCCAGACAGGGTTTCTCTGTGTAGCCCTGGCTGTCCTGGAACTCAGTCTGTAGACCAGGCTGGCCTCGAACTCAGAAATCCGCCTGCCTCTGCCTCCCAAATCCTGGGATTAAAGGCATGCGCCACCACTGTCCGGCCCCAAGCTCATGTTTTTAAAATGTTTATATAGGGGCTGGAGTGCTGCCTACTCTTCCAGAGGTCCTAATAAGTTCAATTCCCAGCAACCAAACGGTACCTCACAACCATCTATGATGCGATCTAATGCCCTCTTTTGGCCTGCAGGTGTACATGCAGACAGTGCACTCATACATAAAATAAATCTTAAAAAGAAAAAAAGTTAAAATGTTAATACATACAAGATTCTACATACATCCAACATCAAAGCACTAGTCTGGCTGGATATAAACTCACCATCTGCACATAACTCCCTGGGACTGCTGGAAGGCTACACTGTGGATAGTTCTGGCTCTGGAACTCTGCTTTGGCTTAGCAATACTACAGGCAATGAAAAGGTACATCAGATGACAAGACTTGAGGTTACTCTCCTTCTGGCTGCCCTCATCATCTGCCTGGAAGCTTCTCTTGTTCCATGATGACATTAGATAGGTTTGTAAATGGATGAAGATGAGTATTTACATGAGCAAATTAAAGGCGTGCACCACCACTGCCCGGCAGTTTCACTCTTTATAACACTAAATTGTTATAAATTTGAATTTATGTAAGAAAACAAAATAATTTTTATATCTTCTTTACAAGGTGGAGTTTAACAAAAACTTTGATTTGGGGAGAAAAAGTTGTCTCAATTTAAAACAAAACAAAGCCGGGCACTTGGGAGGCAGAGGCAGACAGATTTCTGAGTTCAAGGCCAGCTTGGTCTACAGAGTGAGTTCCAGGACAGCCAGGGCTACACAGAGAAACCCTGTCTTGAAAAAAACAAAACAAAACAACAAACAAACAAAACACAAAAAACAAAAACAAAACAAAAAACCCTACTGTCCAAAGTAAGTTTGAAATGAAATGACCTTTCAACAAGGAGTCAGGAAACAAACCATCCAGCAGAAGGCTCTGTAAAAATGTTTATTTTTACTAATGTTTTGAATACAGGAACTAAATATGTGAGGAGGGGGCCTCAACTTTGCAGAAAACAACAGTTAGGGCCTGCTCACAGCCAAGGGGGAAGCCCACTCCAGAGTATCTTGGCATGGACTGTCCCCTCCTACTTAATGTCAGTGCCACTAAGCAGGAAACAGAAAAAAATCAGGGTGTGAAGACCTTACCAGCTACTAGCTAGTGTGCAAGGAAAGGGGACCAACCCATGTCCTGGGAGACAGGATACACAGGCAGGAGGCAGAGGCTCCTGATTCAGTTAAGGGCAGGAGGCTGAATGCCCAGGTCCAGGAAGAACGAAAAGGGGATTTTGGAGGTAGGCTTCTTTATAGAGTTAAAAACAGGCACATTATCCAACTTCTCCCTGCGCCCCCCAAGCTGCTGGCACAGCCCCGATACTGTCCCTCTCCCTACAAAACCAAAGGGAATAAGGAAGGAGGCAGAAGACAGGAAGTTCTGAGAATGGGAAATGTTTGGGTAGCCAGAGAGCACCAGTGAGCAAGCCAGCCAAGCACAGGAAGGAGAGGTTGAAGCTGCTTGTCCCTTTGTGGGACAAGGCAGAGCTAGGAGGCGCCCGAGAGCATTCCAGCTCAAGCACAGAACCCCATGTAGCATGACAGAGGACAGAGGACTGCTTTGGCAGGAGGCAAAGGGAAGCAGAAGGAGGATAGGAAAAGGTCTGGGCAAGTGCCACTTCAGCCAGCTCACTCCAGCTGCTTTCAGGAAAGGCCCAGCCTGGGTCATCTCTGAGGCAAAACCCTGGAAACTAGAGGAGGTGGGGAGTGGGGCTAGGCAAGGCTTGAGACAAGTGAGCTGCTCTCATATTCCTTCTCAGAGGACCCCATTTGAGCCCTGTAATCACCAGGGTCCTGGGCCCAAGGCAGGTAGAGTGAATGCACTTCTTGGAGAACAGAGAGAAGTTGGGCCCACAGGTCAGCCCTGGAACAGCATGCTGCTCCTTACTCCCTGAGGGCTTGGGGCCAGAGGCAGTCAGAGCTGCCACCTTCCTGTGCTGTTGCCAAAGGCAGGTTGGCAGGACTACCGAATGAAAGAGGAGGGGGGGAATGAAAACCAAGGTAGAGAGGAGAGCAACAGCGGTAGATGCAGGGGAGCGGGGTGGCACATCAGGAGGAGTTCTGGTTCTGGTAGATGGACGCTTTCTCCTTCAGCAGATCCAGACACAGGTGGCAACTCCAACTTCCTATGGAGAAGCAGAGGGGTCAGGGTGGATCCCACAAGATCCCATCTACGGCATTCTACTCCACAGACCTCACCCCAGGGAGGACAGGGAAGTTCTGCAGCAGCCACTCCATGGTTATCCTGAGCTGAGGGAACTGCTTGGTTTTCAAAACCGTGAAAACTGGAACTGGAGAGATGGTTCAGCAGTTAAAGAGAATCTGGTTCAGTTCCCAGCACCTACATGGTGGTTCACAGCATCCCTAACTCCATTTACAGGGGATCTGATGCTTCCTCTCTTGACCTCCAAGGGCAGCAGGCACTCATGTAGTGTAGCAGGCACTCACTGACATACATGTAGACAAAATACTCTTAATATACACTAAAAATACACATGAAAACTATTCTCCATGGAGATGGACACACTGAATGCAAGGACAGTCCCCAAACAAATGCCAGACTGTTAGTCTTGTCACATCAGTAGCCCAGGGGCTCACAGGACAGTCTGAGCAGACACAAGTGTTTTGCTTTTTTTAGTTTATTAAATTTATTTATTTATTTGGGGACATGTGCCATAGCATGCATGTGAAAGACAACTTGTAAGTCTAGTCTGTCTTTTTATCATGTGATTTGAGGGGTTAAACTCTTAAACTCCGGTTGCCCAGGCTTGGTTGCTGA